CGGCGAGGTCCGCGGCAGCTTCGGCGAGGTCCGCGGCACCTTCGCTAGGTCCGCAAGTCCGGGGTGTCAGCTGAGAGGTCGGCGGCGTCGGTGGCATCTGCAGTGCGCTAGGCGAATTGGGGGCATCTGCGGTGCTGTCGGCGTCGGGCGGCGCTCTACATTGAGGTTTACCAGTATGTCCACCCTGCGTTTCCAAGGCGAGTGCCGTCATCTGCGGCTACGGGCCTTCGGCGAGGTCCGCCAAGTCCAGGGCGTCTGCGGAAAGGTCAGCGGGTTGGGGGCGTCGGCGGCACTGTTGGCGCCTCGGGGGTGCGGTTGATGTTGGCGGCGTCTGCGGTACATTGGCGGTGTATGCGGGGTGATCAGTGCGTCGGCGACAGTGCTCTATGTTGTTTCCGAGGTGAGTGCCGTCATCTGTGGTGAAGGGGTGTTGGCGGCGTGGACTGCACTGTGGCACGTCTGCAGAGAGGTTGGCACCTCTGCAGCGCATCTGCATGTCCGGGACATCTGATGGTGTCTGGCGTCCGCAGGCGTGGTCGATGGCAGCGGCAGACCCAGGGTGAGAGCTTTAGCAGCGACTGGGCATCAGTAGAGCGGAAGGTGTGTGGGTGGTGTCCACTGAGCAGTCGGCGTTGGCTGCGAGCTGAGGGTCTGTGGCGTAAGCGCTGAGGTTGGTGCGTGGGTGACGTCAGCAGCGCGACTGCGGCGTCCCATGTGCTGGCAGCGTCTACGGTGCGTCAGCGGAGTCCGCGGGGTGTGCAGGCGACGGCAGCGTTTGAGGCACTTCGACGACGTCCCAAGTGTGGATGGCATCAGCTGTGCGGTCAGTGCTTCAGCGGCTTCCCAGCCGCTGACAGCGTCGGTGGCGCGGTAGACTTGTCAGGGTCATCCGCGGCACAGTCAGTGGTTTGGCGGCGGCGTGGCGGCGGCGTCCCAGGAGCTGACAGCACCCGTGGGCGTCCGCGGCATCTCAGGCGCTGAGGCGTCCACAGGATCTGTGGCCCGACGGCGGCGTCCGGGGCGCGGATGGAATTGTCGGCGAGTCTGGAGTGTAGGTGGCGCGGTAGGGTCAGCTGCGACCCAGGCGCTGACAGCATCAATGGCGTCGGCCACGCGATCCGCGCGTCGGGGCGTCCAGAGGGTCTGCGGCGTACGCGCATAGGGGGCGTCGGCGGGGCGTCGGCGGCGCGACGGCTGTGTCCCATGCACTAATGGCGTCGGCGGCGTCTGCGGTGTGCCGGCGGTCACTGGGCTTCAGCGTCGCTGGGCCACCCATCGGTGGTGTGGCCCAGTGCGTCGGTGGGGCGCTGAGTTAAGGTTCACCGGGACGTCCGCGCAGCGTTTCCGAGGTGAGTGCCGCGGCGGGGTGGCCGCCGGGATCTTTCCTGAAAATTAAAGATTTAGTAGGAAGTCAAGGTTTGGGGGAAGTCCACCCAGCTTTTCCGAGGTGAGAGCGCCGCGCCAAGCTGGGAGAGCTGTGAGTCCGGGACCTGAGGCTACAGTTGGGTCAGTGTGCGCGCTGGGGGCCTCGACAGCTTTTGCTGTGCTAGCGGAGAGGGCGGGCTGGGCTCCTGAGCACTTAAGTTCCCTGCGTTGGATTCCTAGCTTGCCGCTGCCGACCACAGCCCTGCTCTCGTGGGCTCTGGGGAAGAAATTTGCGGGTGGATCTTCCTGTGGCATCCCATGGTGTGGAGGGATGGAGCAGCTTCGGGGGCACATCCTCCTAGATCTGGTGGAGGACATTGACCCTTTGCCCCACTTTCAAGGCCAGAAATCGGTTCCCTCTGGGGACCTGAGGGGCGAGAGATCTCAAGCCCCAAATTTGCAAAGTTGGGGTCTTTATTCGTCTTCGGGATTCCGTACCTGGCTCTGTCTCCAGCCTGCTGGTGGGCAAGCCAGGTGTGCCAGATCCAGGATGCAGTAGGGGAGCGTTTGTAGCCATCCCTGAATCGCCTCAGGACTAGCGGAGCAAGCTTCAAATTAACCACAGCATTTCCAGTAGGTTGGATTGTGGTACTGCTGTTTGCGCTCCAAAGAGCTGCTGTGGTTTCCCTGTGTCTGCCTGCCTTGGGAGCTTCTCAGATCATCTCGTTTGGCATCCTCTCAGAAGAGTTAAGCAAGACTTTTGGAATGATTTCCTGGCTTTCCTTCTGTCTTTTGCTGGTAAAGCTGCTTTCAAAAGGAAGTCTTTTCTTGCAGTGCTATCTTTTCTTTGACTCTCAGTGCTTAACGAAGTTAAAGAAAAGTAATCTGCTGGTAGTTTTTAATCTGTGTTTTGAGCTGATATGCGTTAGTAGCTTTCTTTTGTTTTTAAATTTGGTAAAATTTCACCTGTGACCCAGAAGCTCGTTTTTTCTCTTCTAAAATGCTAGCTTTAAGATTTCTGAGAAATTTGTGTCAAAGAAATCTTGGAAAAGTTCCTGAAGTCTGCAGAAGAAGCTCACAGTTTTAAATGTGCAGGTGGTCCCGTGGCGGTGGATCACAGCTGTAATCCCAGCACTTCTGGAGGCCAAGGTGAGCAGATCAGTTGAACTCAGGAGTTCCAGACCAGCCTAGGCAACGTGGCAAAACCCCGTCTCTACTGAAAAGACAAAAATCAGCTGTGTGTGGTGGTATGTGCCTGTAGTCCTAGCTACGCAGCAGGCTGAGATGGGAGGATCACCAAAGCCTGGGAGGTTGAGATTACAGTGAGCCCTAGTGCACTCAGGCCTGGATGGCAGAGCGAGAGCCTGTCTCAAGAAACGAAAAAAAAAAATACAGATAATGAATTTACATTAACGAAATTTCACCAGAAATCAAGAAATAGAACATTACTAGATTGGTGTATATATGTAGGAGTGGCATTGTTGGTTTTAGAGGTATATGAATGACAAAACTTTGGTATCAGTTGTTGTTGATCATTTTCACAAAGTGGTTGTACCATTTAGCAGGGAATATTCTGGTTACCCACATCTTTGCTGATGCTTGTCAATTAAAAATTATTTTGCCATTCTGGTAGAGGTGCAATAATATATCGCGGTGTGGTTTCATTTGGCATTTTCCTGGTATTGAGATTGAGCATTTTTTATTGCCATTTATATGTCCTCTTTTGTGAAGCGCCTCTTCCATCTTGGTATCCTGTTTTCATTGATATGCTTGTTTTCCTGTTGATTTGTAATACTTTATTCTGGATGTGCATCCTTTCTAGGATATATATTACCATTCTTATTTTTCAAACTATAGCATGCCTTTTCACTCTTTTAATGGTGTTTTTATGTGAGTGGAGATTCTCCAGTTTTTTTTTTCTTTTTGAGCCTGGATCTCATTTTGTTGTTCAGGCTGCAATGCCGTGGCACAATCACAGCTCAGTGCAACCTCCACCTCCCAAGGCTCAAGTGATCCTCCTGCCTGAGCCCCCAAGTAGCTGGGACCTACAGGGGAGCACCATTGTGCTCAGCTCTTTTGTATTTTTAGTAGAGATTGGGTTTTAACACGTTGCATAGGCTGTTCTGGAATTCCTAGGATCAAATGGCACACCTGCCTCGGCCTCCCAAAGTGTAGGGATTACAGGCATGAGCCAGTGTACCCAGCCTGAGTTTCTTAATTTTAATGAAATTATACTTGATCAATCTTTTCCTTTATGGTGACTGCTTTTTGTATCCTGTTAATCAATGCCTGACCTAAGAATATGAACACTTAATCTCATAAGTGAAAAGATAGGCTCTCACTTGATTGCCTAGACTGGAGGGCGGTGGCATAATCTCAGCTCATTGCAAGCTCCACCTTCTGGCTCAAGCGATCCTTCCCGCTCAGCCTCCTGAGTACCTGAGACCATAGGCCTGTGCCACTGTTCCTGGCTAAGTTTGTATTTTTTTTTTGTAGAGGTGGGGATTCACCGTTTTCCCAGGTTGGTCTCAAACTCTGTAAGTCTGCCCGCTTCAGCCTCCCAGAGTGTTAGGATTACAGGTTCAAGCCAACCCACCCACCCATGATTCCTTTTTAGTACATGGATGTGACTGCTTGATCCAGCACCATGTATGGAAAAGACTGTCTTTGTCCTTCTGCGCTGCGTAGCACTTTTTTTCATCAATTGGGTGGCTGTATGGTCATCTGATTGACGAAATCAGTGTGGGTCTGTTTCTGGACCAATCTGGGCAACATAGCAAGATCCAATCTCTACAAAAAATAATAAATCATAAAGAAATACATGAAATTTTTTAAGTGGGTAGAGCAGATGGAGTCATAGGTGGTAATTTATAAATGTTTGTCAATTTGTTAGATACATACAGGTGTTGGTAAGTGAGATCTGTTGGAGTTCAGGCAACATGTATTAAGTGAATTCTGTGGTGTTCAGAATGACTGCTGGATGTTCGTTGTGACTTCAATTAGATGTTATTTGCACCTCACAGAGCTACAGGTTTTATTTTCTTATTTATATATTTGTCTTTTAAAATGTTTACAATCTTCCTGTTTAGGCAGTACCTCTTTTATACTTAATTGTTCTTAGGTATACTTAATTACCAGGAAAATTTTATGGATCATATCTAACCGATAAGCCACTTAGTAAAGGGCTGATGTGATGTAATGTAGACAATAGGATTACATAATAGTTTCAGGAGTATATCGATTAAATTGTTTCTTCTTTTTTTTTCTTGAGACAGGGTCTCGCTCTTTTGCCAAGGCTGGAGTACAGTGGTGTAGTGGTTTGATAGTGGCTCACTCTTAGGCTCAAGCAGCCTCCCACCTCAGCCTTCTTAAGTAGCTGGGACTACAGGCATGCATCACCATGCCTGGCTAATTTTGTATCTTTTGTATGCAGGGTCTTCCTGTGGTGCCCAGACTGGTTTGAAACCCCCGGGCTCAAATGATCCTCCCACCTTGTTGTCCCAAAGTGTTCGTATTGCAGGTGTGAGCCATCACACCTGGCCATTTTAGTTTTAATAATTTTATACTTTTCTAACTTAGAATATTTACTAAGTCTTTAATTTATTAATATAATCATTATTATGATGATTATTTTATATGTATTTAATCTCATTTGAGTATAAGTTCTTGGAAATTAGAGATCTTGTCTCTTATTTACTACTGTGTTGTCAGTACTTGACCTTGCCTGGTATGCAACAGATATTGAAGAAATAGTTGTTAAATGAATGAATGAACCACGTTCAAAAATTCTCCAAGTATCACAGCATTTACCATCTAACAAATAAAAGAGCTTGTCTAGAGTAGAGTCACAGTTAACCTGCCATACAAGGAAATGTCAATGAAAATCAAACTTTGTATGTGTAGCTGCTAAAATTTGAAGGCTTTTACTGCAGCATAAACTAGGAAAGCTCAGTGAGATGGCAGATAGAATATACATATATAAATAGACCAGATAGACCAGTAGATGAGATTCCAAAGATAGTTCAATCAGCATTAACTAACCACACCCACACTCTCTTAATTTCCTAACAGAAAGAATGGAATTCCTATTCACTAAGATCTGTCTCAACGAGTACTTTGTGAAAACCTATCTGGGTATGCAAGTATTTAATCAGGACCTTTATTTTTTCCTCCTGCAGGTTGGAGTGCAGTGGGGCCATCATAGCTCACTGTAACCTCTAACTCAAGGCTCAAGGAATCCTCCTGCCTCAGTCTCCCAAGTAGCTGAGACTACACGTATGCACCACCATGCTTGGCTAATTTTTTATTTTAAGAAACCGGGTCTTACTATGTTGCCCAGGCTGATCAGGACTGTTGATTACATACGACAGAAACCCAACCAACCCTAGTTCCTGCCACCTTTCAATCTGCTCTTTTCTCAGTCTTCCGAGTCTCAACAAATGGCAGTTTCATCCTTCACGTTGCCAAAGCCCCAAATCTTATGTTAACCTTGATTTTTCTTTTATGCCATAGCCAGTATGAAGGCCAATCATGTTCAGACCCAGGCTCTCACCGGCACATTGTCCTTTACTGTCCTGAGGGTGTCTGGAGCTTCAGTGCTGTGTGCTTTGGGCCTCAATGCTGGGGCACCATCGACTCTCACTGTCCAGGGCTTCCAGTAGACTCTCCGAGGCACTGATACAGAATCTTCCACCTTCAGTGCACCAAGAGCAGCCTCACACGGTGTGGGCTGACATGAAGAGCTGCCAGATTCAACAGGTAAAAATCGTGAGGTACTGCCAGCTGGATGGGTCCTTTCTCTATTGGGATTCAGATGAGAAGGGAAGATTCCATAGGCCCTAAACATCGCAGCATGACCAGTGTGTGCCACCTATGAGCTGCAGTGTATGGTCAGGTGGAAGTTATTTCACTTCAGGAGAGGACAGTGTTCTCTTCAGGCCTTTTTCTCAGTGGCTATATCTATGACCCTCTCCTCTCTCTTCCCCTCTCACTCCCTAGTCTCCATCCCCATTTGTCTGTCTGTTTCCACCTTGCTGTTACTTTTCACCTGCTTTCCCCTGTTCAGTTTTCATGGTTCTCCCATCCACTCGCATTTCCTAGGCTAAGGCCCCTGCACTGTCCTGCCTGGGGAGATGTGTCTGGATTTAGGTGGTGCCCTCTAGTTGTGTCCAGCATGGGGAAACATGGCTTAGCTAACAATATAATGGTTTCAGAGAGTGGCCACTTTTGAAGGTCTTTCAATCTCCCATACTAGAATGGTGTAGGTCTTAAAATTGATGGGCCACTGTGGAATGCTTGGTTCCTCAGGACCTTGTGGTGGATGCCTTCTTTCACTGATCATTCACAGGGTGGCTATTAGATGCCAGGCCCTGCTTTGGGCTGGGGCACCATAAGGAGTAAATATCAGGTCACTACCCCATGGAACCCACCACTGTAGGCATCGAGAGGGGGAGAAAGAAAGTGACATGGCCTGTTTGTGTCCTTCTCATACGGTCTCCTGCCAGGTCCTGGGGGAGTAGGAGCCAGTGCAAGGAGAGAAGCCCAGTGAAAAAGGCAAAGGGACGGTGTCAGACCCAGGGGCTAAGACCCCCACCTGCAGCTGGGTAACTTCTGGAGTGGACAGGGAGCAGCAGGGAAGGTCGTGGCCTGGTGTTCTGGGGTTCACTGTCTCATCTCATTCCTGTGGTTGCCAGAACTTGTCCAAAGGGAAGACTCAGTGTCTCTAGCAACAGCAGGCCAGAGACAGGAAGTGTCCCAGAGAAGCAGGAAGAATTGTACACCACGGACACGGTATATGGTTTTATAGTAGTGCCTCTCTCTCTCTCACTCAACTAGTTGGCGTGTTCCTGTTACTGGAAAATATCAGTGGTGTAAGTTCCCCTGGATCTTCTCATCTTCATATAAATTTGTCTTTTCCCCCATCCCTCCCTTCTTTCCTTCTTTTCCTTTCTTCCTGAGTTTTCTGATCAGGGTCATGTGAGGCTAAAATCCAGGAATGGCCTGGGAAAGCTTTTTGTCTAGCACTAAAGCTATTTTTCTGAGTTCACTACATGTAATGAAAGAGTTTCTATTCTTGTTCATGGAGGACTGAGGGCCCTTTTCCTGTGCTGGCTGTCAGTCATGACACACTCTGACTTCAGAGGCCCCCTGCTTTCTTCCTTACCTGTCTTTTTCATCTTTCAACCAATCACAACTCATGGAGTCCTTCTCAGGCTCCTTCCTTCTCTGACTTCATCTTCTCCAACCAGCCACAGAAAGTTCTGTCACCTACGGAGTGATGTGATTCGAATCTATTTCATGCAGGTAACCTCACCATCTTCAAGTCATGTAACTGTCATACAACAACATAATCACAGGAATGGTGTCTCATCACCTTAACAGGCTTCAGAGACAAGGGTATGGCATGTTTGGGGACCATTTCAGAAATTCCGTCTACCACAGTTGGACACTCACATTCCCCCATCTACAAAATACATGCAACCCTCTCCTCTAAAGTTTCCAAATTTCATGTCATTAAAGCATTAGTTCAACATGAAAAATGTCACATAGACCACATCAGATCCAAAGTTTAAAATCTTATCTAAAACAGCCACACCAGGTGTGGATGAGGTTTCTGAGGGTGTCCATTAAGTATAGATCCTTAACATAATTTCCTTACGTCCATCGACCTGTGAAAACTGAACAAACCCCTTATCTGCTCCTAATGTGGAATGGCAGGACAGACACAGAATAACAATTACAGTGATTCTAGTTCAAAAAGAAGGAACATGGAAGGGAGAAGGAAGTCACTGACCCAAAATAGTTTGGAAATGGAACTGGGCAAAATCCAGCAGGAGGTTCTTAAGTAGGATCCACAGCCTGGGACTGACCCTGCATCCTGTGGGACTTTGCCTCTGGGATCTTTGCTCTGCATTTCTTGAAACCATTATTATCTATCTTGGTTTTTTTTTTCCCCACTCCTGTGGGTCCTCTCCTTTCTCCTCAGGGCAGCATCCTCCACTTAATCCTTGGTCTGTCATCCCCAGTAGAATTGGTCAGACATTGCTCATGTTTCGGTCCTGACTGTCTCCACGAGGGGCTGTCCTTGTGAGCCCTTGCTCCTCTGGGACCATCTTCACTAACCTGACCTCTCTCAGTCATGATTGCTTTCAGCTCTAAGACTGTGGAGTCCCAGGACCCATCTCTGCCCTCTCTGTCTCCAGGAGAGGAAGAAAATAACAGGGATCTTCATGGAGAAATGACCCACTTAAGGGTCTGGACTCTCCAGCAGTTACAAGCAGAAGAAACTCCCTGAGGAAGAATGGAGGAGCTGAATGCCCAGACTGGGAAGTTTTCTGAAAGGCAGCAGTGAGTTTCTGGAGGGGGAGTTACCTGCTTTGCACAGGGAGGGTGAGGCCAAGGCTTGCGTGGTATATCCGCTGCCACCAAGTGGTGAGGAGAGTTTTAGTCTTTCCGGACTTGAGTTTTCTCACCAGTAAAGTAGGGGCTTACTGTACCTCTCTGAGGTCCCTTTCTGCTCAGTTTTCTCTGAGTCCTTGAGGGACTATGATGGTTTTTAACACTCCCTGGACCTGTAACCTGCCTCTGACCTCTCTGGGTCTGACTCCTGACTCTGGCCCTTGTGTTTCTCCTGCAGAGCCTGAGCTGAGTCCACACCCTGAAAGCCCAGAAGCAAGGGATCAGATGGAAGAAATAAAGCAGGTTTTGGAAAAGAGAATAACCTGCAAAGACAAGTCAATGCTAGAACAGGTGAAAACTGAAGAAGGGGGGAATAAGGACAAACTGGGCCAGAAGCCTCAGGGGAAATGGGCAATGGGCCTATGATCATTCAAGCACTCTAGGAGCAGTGCAAGCTGAACGGTGGGGACCGAGAGAGAAGCTTGCTCCACAGGAGTCTCCTGACTCTGGCCAGGGAGAGCCACAGGGAGGATCAGAGCTGGTTTATAGTGAGGGGGCAGCACCAACTCCAAGAGGGGGAGGATGCGACCGTGAGCCCCCACCCCAGACCTCAGAGCCTTGACCTTTGGGCTGCCATAGCAGTGGATGCTCTTCAGGTTCATGTGGGTTAGAGGGAATAACCGTGCTTGCAGAAGGGTTAGAGATGTCTGTTCTTAAATGAAACAGTTCTGACCTAGGTCAGGTGCCAGAGTAAGTGTTTCTTGCCAGTATATGAGGCAGTGCTGCTTATACCATTCCTCTGCACTTGTGTTAAGGAAGGTCTCTATGTGATATGAGTATTTACTGGGTGTTTAATTTTCTCTATACTGTGTTAAGCACTTGGGGTTCAAATAATAATGTTTCCCAAGGAACTGAAGCCCATGAGAGAAAGAACACAAAGACATGATTTTAAGAAAATACTGTAGTTCTCTGAAAGTGGGGTGTCACAGCAGCACAGAGGATGGGAGTGTAGGTGAAGACATTGCTCTTAATGATGGGGGAACCATAAGAGGAATTCTTCAGAGTAGTCCCATTTTTTCCTCCATTGTCCCACAGAAGATCTTGGCACATGATTGGTGTAGTGTAGAGCAGGGCCCTACAGGTGTGTAGGAAGGGGGCTTGCTGCATCTTGGGAGAAATTATAGCATCCCTAGTAGGACATTTTGGAGAGGAATGTTGGTGATTGGATTGGATATCTCTAGTCAGTTTTATCCTATCTAGAGTGAACACTGCTGAGAACTTCTTAGTGCCAGACCCTAAGCTGGGAATCATGAACACAGAGATGAGGAAAATAAGATCTCAGCTTTTACAGAACTCAGTCTAGTGAATAGCGAGTTACGAGAAGTGTAGTGATGGTGGCTTCATTAGAGCAAGTGACTCATGCTGCATTGAGATGACCTCAGTGGATAGCCTGGTCCTCCTTCTGGTTGTTATCGACAGCTGGCTGACTTGTTTTGAGCCAGTGAGCCTGGACTTCTGCCAGGTGTCTGCATCTTAGGTACAAGCAACACCTCATTTTCCTGTTGGGTCAAAACAGTTAATACTGCCAAAGTGATCAGAGGACATTAGTGACAACAGTAGCTACTGATGAGGTCCTGGCCAGCTAGGGAAATAGATGTAAGTTTAACAATGATTCTAAATTTGTTCTTAAAATAATGAGCAGAGAGTATCTGTCTTCTAAGTTAAATACTTTTTAGACTTCAGGATTCACCCACGTCCAAAATAAAATATATATCAGCCATATCACTGCCCTGAGATGATTTCTCCCTTTCCTACCAGAAGCCTGCACTATCTGGAGCACCGAGGCTGTCTCAAGCTAACTGATCTGCTCTCTGGATTCCGGGGACACCCGCAGAGCTGGAGGTTGAAGGCACAAGTGTTGATGTCTCTGACCGTTCTGACTCCAGGTTGGTGCACCTCAGCACCCAGTATTAACCACACAGTAACAGAATGCCACCAACATTTTGATTTGGGGCTGTTGCATCCTAACTTTAATAACATTTAATAGACATTATTTTTTTTAGAATAATTCTAGGTTTACAGATAAATTGAGCCATTGGTACAGGGAATTCCCTATTCTCTCTTGTCCCCTAGCACACAATTTTCTCTATCATTAGTATCTTCCATTAGTGTGATACATGTTTACAATTGATTAACCAATATTGATACGTTATTATTCACTAAACTCCAGAGTTTACATTAGGGTTCATTCTTTGAGTTTTACAGTTCTATGGGGCTTGACAATTACCATGTCATGAATCCCCAGGACAGTATCACACAGAAGAGTTTCACTGCTGAAAACCTCCTTGTGTTCATCCCTCCTCCACGCTTGGCAATCACTGATCATTTCACTCTCTCTACCACTTTGACTTTCCTGGAATGTCCTAGTGTGGGAATCATACAGTGTGTAGAGTCTTTAGACTACTTTCTTCCTAGCATTATGTATTTAAAGTTCCTCCATGTCTTCTTATGTCCTAATAGCTCATTTCTTTCTATCACTGAATCCTATTCTGTTGTACAGATATATATACCACACTTTGTTTAGCCATTCACTTAGTGAAGGACAGTTTGGTTACTTTCAGTTTTTGACAAGTATGAGTTTTACTCTGTAAATACTTGGATGCAAGTTTTTGAGTGAACATGTTTTCACATTCCTTTGGTAAATATCTAAAACTGCTATTTGCAGGATTTTGTGGCAAGGCTGTGTTTAACTTTGTAAAAAAAAAAAAACCTGCCAAACTGTTTTCCAAAGTGACTAGCATTTTGCATTTCCACTAGCAGCGAATGAGAGTTCCCATTGCTCTGCATCTTTGACAGCCTTTGGTATTGTCACTTGTTTGGATTTGAGCCTTCCTATTAGGTGTATATTATAGTGTAGTGGCATCTCATTGGTTTAATATGCAATTTCCTAGTGACACATGGTTTTGAGCATCTTTTCCATATGCCTATTTACTATCCATATATCTTTTCGTAAAGTATTCAGATCTTTTGCCCATTTCTAAATTGGGTTGTTTGCTTTTTTATGATTGACTTTTAAGAATCCTTTATATTTTTGGACACCAGTCTTTCATCAGATCTGTATTTTGCCAATATTTTTTTCCCAGTTTATCACTTGTTTCTTCATTTTCTTAACAATGTCTTTCACAAAGCAGAAGTTTTTAATTTTAATGAAGTTCAACTTACCAATTTTTTCTTTCCTGGATTGTGCTTTTGGCATTGTATCTGAGAAATCACCACCAAACCCAAAGTCACCCAGATATTTCCGTATTTGGTCATCCGGGTAGGTGTAAGGTCCATTTTGTGAAAGGTGTAAAATCTGTGCCTAGATTTATTGATTTTTCACATATGGATATATAGTCATTCTAGCACCATTTGTTGAAAAGACTATCTTTTCTTGTTCAGTTGCCTTTGTGCCTTTCTCAAAGATCAGTTGAGGATTTATGTCAATGTATTTATGAGCTCTGTATTCTTTTCTAGTGACCTATTTGTCTTTTTTTGTTTGTTTCTTCACCAATTTCCACACTGTTTGGTTATTGTAGCTTTATAATTAGTACTGAAGTTGACAGTGTCAGTCCTGTGGGGATTATTCTGATTTTTACTATGAGAACCTGGTTGTGCTCCTGGTGGTAAAACTTAGAAAAGTGTGAGATCCCCACTAAATCTGGTCCCCAAGGAGATTTTAATGCTCAAGCCAGGCCACCCTCAGCTTCTGGGCGTCTGGTAATCTGTCAGTACCATTTAAGTGCTCCTCCCAGTTGCTGGCTTCAGCAGCTTCTGTTTGCCGTATTTGCCTGTCTTTCTTGTTTTCAGCGTGGCAACTTGCCCTGTGACCTCTCATCTAGGCCCTCTAATAAGGTTTGATAATGTTCAGTTTGTTCAGCTTCTTTCTTGTTGTGAGGACAAGTGGTGACATCCTGGCTCCTTACAAGTTGGAGTAGAAACCAGAAATTTCGTTGAACAAGTTACTTGTAATGGAAGTCACTAATCTCAAATGTAGACTTGAATAATTTAAGTAGATATATAGAATTCTGCAGCCATTGGCAGGGTGTGGTGGCTCACGCCTGTAATCCAAGCACTTTGGAGGCCAAGGTGGGTGGATCACCTGAGGTTAGGAGTTCAAGAACAGCCTGACCAACATGGTGAAACCTCATCTTTAAAAAATACATATATATATAAAAAAAGAATTTTGCAGCCATCACCTCAGTTCCCTCTTAGAATACATATCTTACCTCCCCAGATTCCGCAGAACCTCTGTGCAGTCATTTTTTAATCCCTGGTCACCACGACAGAGCCTGAACAAAATAAACATTTGGAAAACAGACAACATTAAATTTAAGCTTTTGTTAGATTGGAATTTTATGTAATGGACCATTGTCTTACTCTTGTGGCAACCAGAGGAGATATTTTATTCTAGGAACTTTCTTTGGGGGAACTTAATAGTCCCGTTTATTGCTCTGCTTGAATTTGTTCATCTATGTTGGTTACAGATAGTTGCTATCAATCCTTGTCTGGTGAGCATAAATGAAAGAGCTAAAAGAAAATCTATTAGAAATGCAGATGATGAATTTGCAGATAATGCTATGCCGACTTAAATTTATTTATTTATTTGTTTGTTTATTTATTTATTTATTTATTTTTGAGACAGAGTTTCACTCCATCACCAGGCACCAGGCTGGAGTGCAGTGGTGTGACCTCAGCTCACTGCAACCTCTGACTCCTGGGTTCAAACAATTGTCCTGCCTTAGCCTCCCAAGTAGCTGGAATTATAGACATGCACCACTATGCCAAGCTAATTTTGTATTTTTAATAGAGATGGGGTTTCTCCATGTTGGTCAGGCTGGTCTTGAACTCCCAACTTCAGTTGATCTGCCCGCCTCGGCCTCCCAAAGTGTTGGGATTGCAGTTGTGAACCACCGTGCTGGAGTGCTATGTGCAATCTCAGCTCACTGCAACTTTTAGCTCTAGGGTTCAAGTGATTCTTGTGCTTCAGCCTTTCGAGTTGCTGGGATTACAGGCATGCACCACCATGCCCAGCTAATTTTGTATTTTTTGTAGAGACAGAGTTTTTCCATGTTGGTCAGGCTGGTCTGGAGCTCTCAACCTCGGGTGATTCACCCACCTTAGCCTCCCAAAGTGCTGGAATTACATGTGTGAGCCACCATGTGGCTGGGAGTTAAGTATTTTACCATCTTTTTTCTCTCAGAATTTGGGTTGGTAACACTGAGGAGACACTTCTCACCTGCCTGAAATGTCCTTCATTATCTTCTTCAACTTGCAAGGGCTCTGGAACAGCCCTTGCAGAGCCCTATTCTTGTCTCATTTTCTCTTGCATTACTGGCTGATAGTGATATGATATGCAAAAGCATTTGCCTCCGTGTTAAAACGTAAACATGGAAGATATTGTTTCCTCTATTCACAGTTGGAACTTTCTGCTCTACAGTCCATGATGACTGTGCAAGAAGAAGAGCTGCAGGTGCGGGAGGAAGAGCCGCAGGTGCGGGAAGAAGAGCCGCAATTGCGGGAAGAAGAGCCGCAGCTACGGGAAGAGGAGCCGCCACAGGTGTGGGAAGAAGAGCTGCAGGTGCAGGCTGCTGATATGGAGCCTCTGACCAGGAAAATACAGATTAAAGAAGACCTCATGAAGGTCCTTCAAAACTTTTTACAGATCACTGGAAATGTTCACATCTCAGATTACCTGTAGGGCATCTTCAGACACTATGCACACATTGAATCCCTTGCCCAGTGCTTATCAGTATCCCAATTGAACGTATAGGCAGACTGTCTCAAGAGCATTTGTTCCTCTGCTCCTCAACTGAATAATACTTTTATTATTATTTCCATGTTTACACTTACGTTTTGACTTCTAGGACCTGAAAATACAACTGGTTATCCTGAAGACATACCAGCAGTGGAACGCCTGACCCAGAAAGTATTACTTCTTTGGGAAAAATTTACTTCAGTGGAATCCCAGGGTCAAGAAATTTCAGGAAACCAAAGACAACAGGTAAGCCACTGGAATATTCTCCCTCTCTCCTCCCTCTCTCTCTCTATATATGCATACATACATACATACGTACATGGAGTCTTACCCAAGCTCGAGTGCAGTGGTATGACCATGGCTCACTGTAGCCTCAAACTCTGGGGCTCAAGGCATCTTCCTGCCTCAGCCTCCTGAGTAGCTGAAGCTGCAGGTGCATACCACCACACCCGGCACAAACCTTGGTTTTCTACTGTGAAATAAACTGTGATATTGGTTTTTCATAAATGGTATTTCATTGGGAAACTGCTCTAAAGTTTCCTACTTTGATCAGTAGCAGCTATAGATGCCTCTTTCTGACATGAGGTTCTGTAAAGAGGAGCGAACACATACTAGTAGTTATCCCTCACACTCATACATAAGTCATCTTTCTCTCAACTGAATCTTTCTCCTCTATCTGCATTTAGACATGTTCACATCTCTCCCAGTTTAAAAAAAGAGAAAGAAACCCCTGCCTTTGCCCCAACTTTCTTTGTAGCTACAGCCCCATCTAACCTTTCTTTTCCGACAGACTTACTTGCCTGTACTCCCTGTCTCCATTAGCATCTCTCTCACTAATTACTATTCACCCCACTCAATTCTGGCTTTCACTCCACCTTAAACAGCTGTCTGTTGGTTATACATGATCATAGCTCTCGTTATCTTTAAGCACTATGAACACTCACAATGGCACACATCTGTGATTAATGAATGTCTTTTTCCTCCACTAGATAGCAGGCTTTCCCTTAGAACATGAAACAGTCTTTCCCACAGAAGGTGTTCAATAAATATTTATTGAATGAATGACTACTGGTAACTCCTATTACATATGTTTCCCTCTTGCCTGTCCCATTTCCCTCTTACTCCTTTCTCTTAGCTGCTCCTTTTTCTCCTATTTGCTCCCATGTTTGAATTCCACCTTACAGGGTTTTAAAGATTTTAAAAAAATAATGAATATGATACTGATTTGAAAACTATGCAATACTCTGAAAAGCTTAAGTACTAAGATAGCAGAGTTTTTAAGTCATAGTACATGCCAATGCATTTTCTTGTTTCGCAGGATGAACTGTGGCTTCATGTCTCACTGTGCCATATTGGTATTGCTTCTCTCTTCTTTTCTCAGTTGCTGCTGATGCTAGAAGGACTAGTAGATGAACAGAGTCAGCTCAGTGAGGACTTAGAAACAAAGAGATAGCTCTCTAGCAGTCTGGTGAAGTTCCATGCCCATCCAGAGAGGTTAGATAATGGCTGTTTTTACTTTTATTCTTTGTTGAAATTTTTATTTCTTTTACTATTGTATTTTGTATGCATTTTCTTCTTCATGAAGTGTAGATGCTTATGATACTGAACAGGGGATAAAAAACAGGGATAATGACTGGGGCCACCCACGTCATTTGTTTTATGGATTGCTCTGAGCCTCAGTGTCAAAATCTTAAGTTAGGAATAGTGCCTGTTTCACACAGCGATGGCAGAGATTAAATGAGAAGACAGCGTTGGTGTCTAAAAGAATGCCTTGCATGTAATCAGCACTCAAGTATGTTCCTTTCCTTTTATGATCCATGTCCTGTTAAAGGCTGTTCTATTATAAAAGTAAGGCTACACCCTGTCTCTACTGAAAATACAAAAATTCGCAGGGCATGGTAGTGTGCGCCTGTAGTCCCAGCTACTTGGAAGGCTGAGGCATGAGAATCACTTGAACCCAGGAGGTGGAGGTTGCAGTGAGACAAAATCATGCCACTGCACTCCAGCCTGGCGACAGAGAGACACTCTGTCTCAAAAAGAAAAAAAAGTCAGGCTATAAAGGGCACTGATATTTATTTAACATTATTGAAAAACATATATTAATTTGGATGGCTAATATCACCCCGAGACCACCGATAGCCATCATGACAAGTACATTTTCTTCTACCTCTTGATTTTGATCATATATATGATACCTTTCTGGATCATTTTATATTCTTTTCATTTCTTTTCCTCATTTTGCCTTCTATTTTAGCGCCTTTTATTCTTTTTTGTTTTCTATTTATTTTTTACTATTCAACTTTTTTCTAATTTATTTCTGGGCTTTAACAGTGTTTTCTTTGTACCAGGAGAATGAAGGCAGAGGAAAGTCACAGTTGATTTTGTGACTTTTTTTTTTTCAGAAAAGCAGTTTATTAAAAAGAGAGACAGAGTTTCCAGATAAGTTTGGGGTATTTTTGAGATGGAGTCTTGCTCTTTTGCTGATGCTGGAGTCCGGTAGTACAATGTCGGCTCACTGCAATCACTGCCTCCTAGGTTCAAGTGCTTCTCCTGGCTCAGCCTCCTGAGTAGCTGGGATTACAGGTGCATGCCACCATTCCTGGCTAATGTTTGTATTTATATTTATTTACTTCATTTATTTGCATATTTAAGACAGGCTTGTATTTATGTATTTATCTAGCTATCTAATTATTTAGAGGCAGGCTCACATTTACTCATTTATTTATTTAGACCCAGGCTGGCAACATTTATTTATATACTTATGTACGTGTGTGCAGGCTTGCATTTATTCATTTTCTTAACTGACTATATGATGACATAGAGGCTGGCTTGCATTTCTTGATTGATTGATTGATTTTAGATGGATTCTTGCTCTCTCACCAGGCTGGAGTGCAGTGGTGCAATTTTGGCTCCCAGCAACCTCCACCTCTTTGGTTCAAGTGATTCTTCCACCCCAGCCTCCTTCGTAGCTGGGACCCCAGGCGCGTGCCACCACGCCTGGCTAATATTTTTGTACTTTTAGTAGAGACCAGGTTTCTCCATGTTGGCCAGAATGGGTCTCGATCTCTTGACCTCGTGTTCCAACCTCTCGGCCTCCCAAAGTGCCGGGATTATCAGGGTGAGCCGTCTTGCCTGGCCTTGATTTATTTATTTACATAGTTACTGATTTATTTACTTAGAGGCAGGAAGGCTGACTGGCATTTATTTATTTATTTTTCCATTTATTTATTTATTTTCATCTTATTTTTTTTTAAATAGAGACAGGGATTCTTTCGGCATCTTGGCCAGGCTGGTCTTGATGTCCTTCCTGACCTCAGGTGATATAGCCGGCTCAGGCTCCCAGTGAGCAGGGGATTAAAAACATGAGCCACCAAGTGGGGCTACTTATTTATTGATTTATTTATCTATTAGTTGACTTATTTAGAGGCAGACTTGCATTTATTTATTTCCTGATGTACTTATGGAGAAGCAGCTCTTATTTATTTACATATTTGGAGGCAGGCTTGGATTTATGTATTTATCTATCTAGCTATCTAATTACTTAGAGGCAGGATCACATTTACCCATTTATCTTATTTAGACCCAGGCTCACAACAATATTTTTATACTTATGTATTTGTGTGTGAGCTTGCATTTATTTATTTTATTAACTATCCGAATAATGATTTAGAGGCAGTCTTGCATTTATTCCCTTATTTATTGATTTATTTATTTACTTATTTTTCTTTTCTTTTAAGGACGGGGTTTCACTATGTTGGTCAGGCAGGTCTTGAACTCCCACCCTCAAGTGATCTGCCCGCCTTTGCCTCTAACGTGCTTGGATTACAGGCGTGAGCCACCTATGCCTGGCTGATTTGTTTATTTATTTTAGACGGAGTCTTGCTCTGTCACCAGGCTGCAGTGCACTGGCCCAATCTTGGCTTACTGCAGCCTCCACCTCCTGAGTTCAAGCGATTCTTCCTCCTCGGCCTCAGAGTATCTGGGACCACAGGTGTGTGCCACCTTGCCTGGCTATTTTTGTATTTTTAGTAGAGACGGGGTTTCACCATGTTGGCCAGGCTGGTCTCGATCTTTTGACCTCGTGATCCGCCCGTCTCGGCCTCCCAAAGTGCTGGAATTATAGGACTGAGCCATCTTACCCAGCCTTTATTTGTTTACATAATTACTGATTTATTTACTTAGAGGCAGGAAGGCTGGCTTGCATTTATGTATTTATATTTTTATTTATTTAATTAATTATTTTTACCTTATTTTTTTAGAGACAGGGATTCTTTCACCATCTTGGCCAGGCTGGCCTCGATGTCCTGACCTCAGGTGATATAGCCGGCTCAGGCTCCCAATGGGTGGGGGGATTAAAAACATGAGCCACCAAGTGGGGTGCTTATTTATTGATTTATCTATCTATTAATTGATTTATTTAGAGGCAGACTTGCATTCATTCATTTATTTGCTGAGGTTCTTATGGAGAAGCAGTTCTAATTTATTTATTTACATATTTGGAGGCAGTCTTGGATTTATGTATTTATTTATCTAGCTATCTAATTATTTAGAGGCCGGCTCACATTTATTCATTTATTTTATTTAGACCCACTCTCACAACATTATTTTTATGCTTACGTATTTGTGTGTGGGCTTGATTTTGTTAACTGTCTCTATGATGATTTAGAGGCAGTCTCACATTTATATAATTATTTGTTTTTTTATTTGTTTATTTATCTTAGAGTCTTGCTCTGTCACCAGGCTGGAGTGCCTTAGCCCAATCTTGGCTTACTCCAACCTCTGCTTTCTGAGTTCAAGCGATTCTTCCTCCTCTGCCTCCAGTGTATCTGGGACCACAGGTGAATGCCATCGTGTCTGGCTAATATTTTTGTATTTTTAGTAGAGACGGGGTTTCACCATATCGGCCAGGATGGTCTCGATCTCTTGACCTCCTGATCCGCCTGTCTTGGCCTCCCAAAGTGCTGGGATTACAGGACTGAGCCATCTCGCCCGACCATTATTTATTTATTTACATAATTACTGATTTATTTACTTAGAGGCAGGAAGGCAGGCTTGCATTTATTTATTTATATTTCTATTTATTTATTTAATTATTTTCACCTTATTATTTTTTTAAATAGAGACTGGGATGTCTCGATGTCCTGACCTTAAGTGATATAGCTGGCTCAGGTTCCCAATGGGCAGAGGATTAAAAACATGAGCCACCAAGTGAGGCTGCTTATTTATTGATTTATTTATCTACTAACTGATTTATTTAGAGGCAGACTTGCATTTATTTATTTATTTGCTGGGGTACTTATGGAGAAGTAGGTCAGATTTATTTATTTATTTGGAGGCAGGCTTGGATTTATGTATTTATCTATCTAGCTATCTAATTATTTAGAGGCAGGCTCACAACATTATTTTTATACTTACACATTTGTGTGCAGGCTTGCATTTATTCATTTTCTTAACTCTCTGTATAATGATTTAGAGGCAGTCTTGCATTATTTATTTATTTACTTATTTACCTTTTTTCTTTTCTTTTAAAGATGGGGTTTAACCATGTTGGTCAGGCAGGTCTTGAACTCCTGCCCTCAAGTGATCTGCCCGCCTTGGCCTCCAAAGTGCTTGGATTACAGGCATGAGCCACTACGCCTGGCCCATATGTTTATTTATTTTATACGGAGTCTTGCTCTGTCACCAGGCTGCAGTGCACTGGCCCAATCTTGGCTTACTGCAACCTCTGCCTCCTGAGTTCAAGCGATTCTTCCTCCTCAGCCTCGGAGTATCTGGGACCACAGGTGAGTGCCACCTTGCCTGACTAATATTTTTGGTTTTTTTGTTTGTTTGTTTTTTTAGGTGTTCAGAGGAATGTATTGAGTAGAGGTGAGGAACTAGGATGTTGAAAAGTGAAAAAAGGAGAGAAGGAGAGGAAGAAAGAGGAAGAAAAAGAGGGAGAGAGAACAGGAATATTGCTTCATTCTAAAAATGGGTATTAATAATGGCCGATCAATATTTTGTGTATTTAAAATGGAGAACTCTATAAATATTTATTGAGTTTACTTGTTCTGGATCTGAGTTGAAGTCCTGGATATCCTTATTAGTTTTCTGTCTCGTTGAGTCTAAATCTCGTTATGGGCCTTATGTATCTGGGTATTAAGATCTCTTATTGTTGCATTGATCCTTTTACCACTGTATCTTTGTTGCTTTGAAATCTATTTTATCAAATGTGAGAATTGCAACTCCTGCTTTTTGTTTATTTATTTGTTTTTGCTCTCCATTTGGTTGGTAAATTTTTCTCCAACCCTTTGTTTTGAGTCTTTGTGTATCTTTGGATATACTGTTAGGTTTTGGCTGTATCTTTTGATTGGGGGATTTAGTCGTTTTAAATTTAGGGTTACTGCCATTTGATGTTAGCTGGCTATTTTATCCATTCGTTGATGTAAATTCTTCTTTATGTTGATGCTCTTTACTTTTTGGTATATTTTTAGAAAGGCTCATACTGGTTGTTCCTTTCTATGTATAATGCTTCTTTCAGAAGTTCTTGTAAAGCAGGCCTGGTGGTAATAAAATCTCTGAGTACTTGCTTGTTCATAAAAGATTTTATTTTACCTTCAATTGTGAAGCTTAGTTTGGCAGGATGAGATTCTAGGCTGAAAGTTCTGTTCTTTAAGTATGTTGAATATTGGCCCCCACTCTCTTTTGGCTTGTAGGGTTTCTGCTGAGAGATCTGCTGTAAGTCTAATAGGCTTCCCTTTATGGGTAACCTGGCCTTTCTCTCTGGCTGCCCTTAGTATTTTCTCCTTCATTTCAATCCTGGTGAATCTAAGGATTATGTGCCTTGGGGTTGCTCTTCTTGAGGAATATCTTTGTGGTGTTCTCTGTATTACCTGGGGTTGAATAGTGTCCTGCTTTGCTAGATTGGGAAAATTTTCCTGGATAATATCCTGAAAAGTATTTTCCAGCTTAGATTCATTCTCTCCATCACATTTAGGTATACCAATCAAACGTAGATTGGGTCTTTTCACATAGTCCCATATTTCTTGGAGACATTGCTCATTCCTTTTCATCCTTTTTTCTCTATTCTTGTCTTGTCGTTTTATTTCATTAAGTTGGTCTTTGACCTCTGATATCCTTTCTTCTGCTTGATCCATTCTGTTATTTAAACTTGTGCATATTTCACTAAGTTCTCGTGTTGTATTTTTCAACTCCTTTAGTTCATTTATATTCCTCTCTATATTGTCTATTCTTTTCAGCATTTCGTCAAACCTTTTTTCAAAGTTCTTAGTTTCTTTACATTGGGTTAGAACAAGTTCTTTTAATTCCCAGAAGTTTCTTATTATCCACCTCTGAAGCCTACTTCAGATAATGGAACACAGTCCCTTTCCATCAGGGCTTGTTCCATTGCTGATGAGGAACTGCAATCCCCTGTAGAGGGAGAGGGGTTCTGATTTTGGGTATGCTCGGCCTTCTTAGGCTGGTTTTTTTCCTTTATTATAAATTTATCCATCTGTCGTCTTTACAATCACTGCCTTTCTAATTAGGTTTCTGAGTCAATGTCCAATTTATTGATTCCCAGTGCTGGGATTCAAGCAACCCACTGCGCTGGCCAAAATAGCAGCGATAAGACTGATGGTGCTCTTCTGCCCGGGAATCTCTGGTCTGGCTTCCTTCTTGAGTCCACAACAAGCAGCTCTGCCTTCCCAGAGCTCCAAACACCCATCAGTAAGGGAACCAGTCCCGTTTACTCTGCATGAAGAGCTGCCGCACCAAGGTGCTGGCAAGACCGCTGTGCTGGCCACAAGAGTCACGCTGGCGACCCGTGGGGCTCCTCCACTAGAAATCTGCTGGTCCATGAGCGACAAAAATTCGTCTGAAAGTGTGGCGTCCTCTCGTTCTCTGAGCTTTCACTGGAAGCTACAATCCTGAGCTGTTAGTGATCAGCCATCTTGGATCTCTCTCCTATTTTTGTATTTTTAGTAGAGACGGGGTTTCACCATGTCGGCCAGGCTGGTCTCAAACTCTTGACCTCATGATCCACCCATCTTGGCCTCCCAAGGTGCTGGGATTACAGGCTTTAGCCACCGCACCCAGCCTTTATTTATTTATTTACTTAATTACTCATTTATTTACTTAGTGGCAGGCAGGCCATCTTGCTCTTGTTGCCCAGGTTGGAGTGCAATGGCATGATCTCAGCTCACTGCAACCTCCCAGGTTTAAGTGATTCTCCTGCCTCAACCTCTTGAGTAGCTGGCATTGCAGTGATGTGCCACCATGCCCGGCCAATTTTGTATTTTTAGTAGAGACAGGGTTTTTCCTTGTTGGTCAGGCTGGTCTCTAACTCCTGACCTCAGGTGATCCACTCACCTTAGCCTCCCAGAGAGCTGAGATTACAGGCATGAGCCACCATGCTCAGCCTAAATAACATGTTTTTAAAAGTCACATTGTCCCACAATATTCATTTCTCATGCATATTTAGGAAATTGAGTTTTTTTTACTAAAACATGCTAACATATGGGAAATAGGATGCAAAATATGCAGGAATGTTTTAGACACAGTTTGAGGTGTCTGAAAGATTTTGTGCTAGGGAGGCTGCTTCCTACAAGCTCCCAAATCTCTGGGAGGACATAGTATTCATCCTCCCTCAGCAGAGGCCATGAGGTGAGAAGCCCTGGGGAGCCTTGGGCATTTAGCATAGAGTGTTCAGGTCTTTATAGTTTGAACCTGCGACATAGAGAGATTATGGGTCTCTGGCTTCCTTGACCTTTGCCTTCCTTGACCAAAAGAAAATGTGACTCTCCAAAGCAAGAAACTTAAGGGCATGGGTCACCCCAGCCTTGGCATCTACCCAGAACATGAGAAGGAAAGAACAGTGGTCCTCCAGTGACGTCACAGGGCTGACACAGGCGGTCACTGCCCTGTGTGGATCACCCTCTGTGTTGGGCAACCTGAACCCCATCTGTGGGAATGTGAGGAGGAAAATACAAAGGTCTTTATGTGAGCACTGAGACGGCAGATGCAGCAGAAACCTCCAGGAGATAATTACCCAGTCTTGGACCTATGGTAGAGAGAGAGCATGTTGGTGATCATGTGTACTTACACTCTACGGTCACCAGGTGGCACTATGACCTTGTCTGTGGCTCTGAAAAGGACGATTTGGAAGGAGTTCATCACAGCTAATATTTAACAAGCACCTACTATTTGCCAAATCACTCACCCCTGGCAACAACCTAAGGAGCTGGGGATACTTATTATATATCTTTTATAGAGAAGGACACGGAGACGTAAAGACATGACTTATCTTGCTCACATTGCTCAGCTAATAAGTGGTGAGAACCTAAACAGTGTGGCTGCAGAGCCTACATGCATTGATTGAACAAGTGTTTATTGAGCACCTGCCATGCGCAAGGCCTTGTGGATTAAATACAGTTATGATTAATAATATAACAATGGCAAATCACTGACACTTTTTAGACGTAACATTTTCTTTTTTGTAGGTTTCAGGCACAGAACTGTGTATCCAATAATACTGAAATTGATTCCACTAGTTATGACAGAAATGATGATACATTTAAATGAGTTGGGTGTTTTAGAATCCTTGACTGAAACTGAATGAGGAATGAAATTGTTTCCATTTCACACAAGAGGAAACTGAGGTGAAGAGGGGTAAAGTAATATTGCATGGCATGAAGTGGAAATTCAAAGTACAGGAATTTGAACTTGGTTCTGACCTTTTCTGAGGCCCCCATGCTCTTGACCACTATAGACTCAAGCATCACCTTGTTTTTCCACTCATTCAAGACACTTTTTAAAAATTTAATTATCTAATAAATTAGCCCTCATCATGATCTTCTGTTCCCATTCTGTAGGTGGTGAAGCCCTCTATTGTCCTGACCCCACAGTTCCTGTCCCATGACCAGGGCCAGCTCACCAAGGAGCTGCAGTAGCACATAAAGTCAGTGCCATCCCTCATGCGAGTACCTGAGGAAGGTGAGTGAGTGCAGACAGACGGGGCCTGGCGCTCTTGAACAGCTCCTGGTCTCGGCTGCCCCACGTCTCACAGGGGCCATGCTGGGGGAAGTGTAGGCAGTCACAGTACTGGCTTTTTCCTTTTTTTTTCTTCCATGCAAGTGGCTTAGGGATAGAGTAGAGTGGTTGAATTATTTGGATAAAAACTGTTATCTTGGTCAGAAAGTCAAAAAGAATCATTGCTGTTATGTTAACCTAAAGAAAAACAACCAGACAGTGCCCAGTGGTACTTCAGAAAGCTATTTATTATCCTGCAAAATTTAGGCAGGGGTTGTGACTCATGCCTGTAATCCTAGCACTTTGGAAGGCTGAGTCACCTGAGGTCAGGAGTTCAAGACCAGCCTGACCAACATGGAGAAACCATGTCTCTACTAAAAACACAAAATTAACCAGGCATGGTGGCACTTGGCTGTAGTCTCAGCTACTCAGGAGGCTGAGGCAGGAGACTCACTTGGACATGGCAGTCGGAGGTTGAAGTGAGCCGAGATTGCACCACAGCACTCCAGCCTGGGTGACAAAGGGAGAGTCTGTCTTAAAAAAAAAAAAAAAAATTATTTTGCAAAATTTGAAACAGAAATCAAACTCAGCAGCTTCTAAATTATTTTTAACATGATTCATAATTAGAAATAGATTTTATATTATATATAGTTCTACATATTTGAGTAAAATAATAAAATCATGTATTTTACAAGTAATACTTTTTTGTTCTCCTTCATTTGTTTTGAATGCTTTGTTCAATCTACAAAAAGTCCAGTAGTAATAATTATTCACTAAATTAAACATTGTCTTGTCATTTAAAATGATTTCATAAATGATCTTTTGTTTTTGAGATTATATATGTGTATATATTTTTTTATTGCATTTTTTTTTCCTTTTGAAAGAGTGTCTCACTCTGTCACCCAGGCTGGAGTGCAGTGGCACAGTCTTGGCTCACTGCAGCCCCCACCTCCCAGGTTCAAGCGATTCTTCTGCCTCAGCCTCCCAAGTAGCTGAGACTACAAGTGTATGCCACCACATCTGGCTAATCTTTGTATTTTTAGTAGAGACTAGGGTTTCAACATAATGGCCAAGCTGGTCTTGAACTCCTGATTTCATGATCCAACCATCTTGGCCTCCCAAAGTTCTGGGAGTACAGGCATGAACCATTGTGATGGGCACAAGATAAAAAAATTTTAACAATGTGCTATTAAGAGACAAACACTGGATATGAAAGAATATTCATAGTTTTATCTTATCTGTTTAAAAATGATTGAAAGAATACATATGCAAATAAGTTGACATTATTTTGGTAATACTTTGCTGCATTTTTTGAATATTGACAATCAATATGCATTATGAAGTTACATGGCTAATATAAAGTACTCACTGTGTGCGACAGACCCTGGGCTCAATGCTCTACATGTATTTTTATTTCATTTCATTCTCTTCATAACCTCAAGTAGTATAACCAACCCATTTTACAGAATTGAAACTGAGGCTCAGAGCCTGAAAGTTAAATGCCTGAGGTTGCAGTTAATAAGAGGCAGAGCGGGAACTGAAGTTTATATGTGTCTCACAACCAGTTTATGTTCTAATGGTAGGCTAGTCTGCTTCACAGAGCATGGAATAGATGGTGCGTGCCTGCTAGGATGGACCAGGTATCACTGTAGGTAATAAGCAGCCCCCAAAAATGGAAATTTACAACACTGAAGGCTCTTTTCCCACTCATGCTGCACATCCTCCATGGCTCTCCTGGGCCCTGTGCTCCACATTCCCTCATCTGCCACCAAAATAAAGGAGCAGCTTCTATATGGGATCTATCAGTGGCTCTAAGAGATGAAGGAAAGGGTGGCCAGTCTGAATGGCTTCCAACTCTTTTGCCCCAAGGTGACACACTTCACTTCCACTCACATCTCCCGAGTCAAAGCAAATCCCTTAACTACATCCACCTTCAAGGGGCCCAGAGTAGAACCTGAAATACTCAGTGGACTCCATTAAGGCCACCATACAGTGTCAGCCTGTGTGGGAGACTCTGGAGGGGCAGAGGAGGAGAGTTGGGAATTGATGGGAAATCACAGCAGGACTGAGTCACCTCAGATTTGCTTTATCCTCAACCAGGTGGAGTTTGTCCCAGAGCTACACAAAATCAGCAGCAGCATGATCAAACAGGGTAAACCTCAGAAAAAGGAGTTTGTTCAGTTGTGATCAGCAAGGGAACTCAGAATCAGCTGAGTGGCACTGCGTCAGTAAATCTCTGACTGCCTCAGTTACCCCATAAGATAGTAGTGAAGATGGGAGCATTGCGAGAGTTGATTTGGAAGGATATCAGGAGTGTGAACATTCAGCATTTTAGTTCCTTTAAGTTCAATCAGGCACTATCTTTCCTGCAAGTCCCCTGTTTCTTTCAGATTGCACAGGTGAGAGTGCTCAGATTAGGGCCAGAGGTCATGAAATATTGGCTTCTATACCAACAGTTCCTCTGTGTCCTGCATGCATTCTGTGCACTTTCCTGTGCTAAGCACTGTCCCAAAACATCGTGGGGCCTGATTCTTTCTCCTTGTTCCAGTGGCCCTGGGTGACTCAAGTGCCCATTCAATGACCACGACACAGAGGTCTTAGAGGGATGCTCCATGAGGCCCCAGGTGCTAGCCACTGCCCTGCCAAAGTGTGAGGCAAGGGACCAGGGCATTGTCTGTGGGGACAGTGGTCATCCAGGCCTGGTGACTCTACTTGGTGGAGAGATGATCCTACACCTGCCACCTCTGATGGATCCACTGCCTCTGTGCCTGTTTGTCCTGCTGATGCTCCAGTGGCTGCTCCCACATCCCAGCCTAGGACCAATGCCACTGAAGACAGACCTGGCCCCTGGGGACCCAGGAGACTTACAGGACTCACTCAGCTGTCCCCAGGAGTCCCCAGACCTGCATTCTTATCAAGGACCTGGGAGCCCAGAGGGCCATAAATGATGATTTGCTGTTGCTGTGATTATCACTGCCTTTAGTGGCCAAGGGCCTTCCAAGGTGCCAGCTCTGGAAGGAAAGATGTCCTTGGGAGGTGATGACACTTGGTACACAGATGCTTGACAGGTTGTTTCCTCCTATCCTCAGACAGCCTTTGACACAGCCATTGTTTGGAAGGAAACCAGCCCAGGGTCACACAGCTGGTCTCAAATCTAAGGTGCCTGGCTCTGCCTCCACAAGGGACCTGCCTGCAAGGGAGGTTGACCCTGGCTTGGGGGAACCTTTCCTGGGCTACATGAATCACCTCCCCTGTTTGAGGCCCCAAACTGCTCACATCTCCTTCCTTGCCCAGTCTCTGCTTGGGCTATAATCAAGGTGACCACAGCAACCCTTCATGGACATCATGGTGCTACTCTCATGCAGGTGACAGCATACTAATAGAATTGAATGGCATAGTTGTATTATCCCTGTTTCATTTTGCTTGTGTCTCGGTTGTTTGTTTATTTATGATAAAGGCATTTGTAGCATGAATAGAATATTTGCAATTTACAATAGCTTTACATCATAGTAAAGGGTAAAAACACTGAAAGCAGTGATTTTCAGCTGCAAGAGGCCTGAGTGAGTGTGAGCACACACTGTGTGATCAGGGAGAAGCAGGCCTTTGGAAAGTTTAGCTGAGGATGGGGCCAGGAAAGACGATGGACAGTGAGGGTCTGACCTGGCCACTGGACCCCTGGGTCCTACCCACCTGCCTGGCACTCCCCACCCATCACCCATGATCTGCCAAATCCTCTGGGTATTGTGGCCAAATCCCCCAGGAGAGAGACTGACGAAATTTGTCTCTTGAAATGCACAGATTCCATGGCCATTTCTGGGAAGTCAACCATGAGAGTCAACCTGGTTTTCTCTCCCTCATTAGGGTTCAGAATTAAAAGTCCACCTTCACAGGTAGTAAGATAATATAGATAAGTGACAACATCACCCTGTTACAGATGTTAACATGGCTAGGTGAATTAGGGGTGATTTGAGACCACACAACCTTGTGCCACAAAGTGGAATTCCTGTCCCAGAGGAAGACATTTGATTGTCATGTTATGATCTTATCACTGAGTATAAAAGCAGTCTTGTTTCATTTTGGATTCTTTTTTATGTTTCTAAGAATGTTTGTGTTTCTTATGTTTATATGCTTTGAATTTCCAAGCATATAATAATTTTTGGATAGCTTTTAGTCATTGACTTCTAGCACAGTTCTGTGATCAGAAACATGCTGTGTGATTGGATTTCTCTGAAATATGCTGAGATTTGCTTGATGAACAAGATAGTTGAGTTTAATTTTTATAAATGTACCACACATGCTTAAAATGAATGTTGCTCCACATACCCTCATCTGCCATCATCCGAGATACAGGATGATGGACGATGGCTCCATGGATGTAATGGAGATGCTTTACTGTTGGGACCTTCTGCATCTTTCTGATGTTTTGTTGCTTAGAATATGAATGGCGGAGAGGGGGCTGTGGAGCCTCCCACTCTGCTTGTGGGTGAGGTTTTTCCTGCCATCATTTGTTTCTTATGTTTTGCAGCCAAGACTGACTGTGAGAAACCCTGGGAGCTCAGGAAGGAAGGAGCCGCTCAGAAGCAGGGATGGGAGCTGGTGGGAAAGACCAGAAGTCAGGTCTGTGAAGGTTCCAGAGAGGACCTGTCCTTGGGAGTCAAGTAGGGGGCCTGAGATGGGGGAGGGGCATTGGAGGACACAGGTGCTCTGTGGAATGTCCACTGTGAGGTACCGCATTCCGGGGCTAGGGATTGGTGGAGAGGGAGTTTAAAGCCCCGGGGTTGCTTAGGCAGTGCCCAGACAGGAGAAGGTTTGGTGGAAACCAGAGCCCTGGTCTCCATCTAATTGCTCCTGAGCGTCCTGCTTTCTTGCCCTGCATATCCTGTTGCTTCCCTGATAGACTTTCTCCCTGACTTGTAGCTGAACCTCCTCCCACTCTCGCTTGAAGACTTAGTTTAAACCGGATCCTTTCTCAGTCTGCTTTCTCCTCCCCCCCCCCACCGGGTGCCCAACAGACCCCTTCCCCTCCCTCTCCTTCCCTCCCATCCCCCTCCCCAACTCAGATCCCACCCCATCCCCATCCCCTTCCTTCCCCCAGCCCTAAGCCACTGTTATCTCTGTCCTGGTCACCTCACGGCACCCTGAGAAGACCAGGAGATGCGAGTGCAGTGGCTACTCTTTTGGCTCCTCCTGCTGGAGTTTCCCAGCCATCAATCCACCCTTGTGAGTAGACACTGGACCCTTGGGGTTTCTTCCTTGTTCTTGGGCTGTGTCATGTGGCACATTACACAGTGCAGGCCTGTAATTTCAGCGCTTTGGGGGGTTAAGGTGGGCAGATCACCTGAGTCCAGGAGTTCACGACTAGCCTGGGCATCATAGCCAACCCCATCTCTACAAAAGATTCCAAAAAATTTGAGTCAGGCCTGGTGGCTCATGGCTGTAGTCTCAGCTACTGGAGAGGCTGAGGTAGGAGGATCGCTTGGGCCCAGGAGTTGGAGGTTGCAGTGAGCCAAGATTGCCTACTGCACTCTTGTCTCAAACAAAAGGAACCAAAACAAAGTGAAATGTCATTTGAGTTTTGTGTCATCTGGTTTTATGACTTTTTAGGAAATTCTGTGTCATCCCTGTCTTCTGCTCTTAGGGGCTGTCTCTAGGGAGTCTGTGTCCAGTTAGTGTGATGGGAGCTGAGAAGCCCATCACATCGATGGAAAGGGCTGCGCCTGCTGGGAGGTTTGCAATGCAGAAGTCACTAGGAGTGACAGGACCAGGATGTGAATGACTGTATTGTCCTTTGTTTTGTAAAGTGTGTATGGTGCAGGTCATTGATTGACCCAAAGAAGAAAGGGTCTTCAAGTCCTTATGTTATCCAGATATAAAGAAATGACAGGCCTGGTGTAGTGGCTCACTCCTATAATTGGGAGGCTGAGGCTGGTGGATTCCTTGAGGTCAGGAGTTCCAGACCAGCCTGACCAACATGGTGAAACACTGTCTCTACTAAAAATGTAGAAATTAGCTGGGCATGGTGGCAGGTGACTGTTATCCCAGCTACTCTAAAGGCTGAGGCAGGAGAATGGCTTGAACCCAGGTGTCAGAGGTTGCAGCAAGCTGAGATTGCGCCATTGCACTCCAGCCTGGGCAACTGAGTGGGACACTGTCTCAAAAAAAAAAAAAAATTTTTTTTTTTTTTGTTGGTAATTTTTCTTTTCTTGAGACAAAGCTTCCCTCTCGTTTCCTGGGCTGGAGTGCAATGGTGCGATCTCAGCTCACTGAAACCTCTGCTTCTCTAGTTCAAGTGATTCTGCTGCCTCAGCCTCCTGAGTAGGTGGGACTTCAGGCCCTCACCACCACACCTGGCTAATGTTTATATTTTTAGTCGAGACAAGGTTTCACCATGTTGGCCAGGCTGGTCTGGAACTCCTAAACTCAGGTGATCCACCGGTTTTAGCAGTCTCACAGTGCTAGGATTACAGATGTAGGCCTCTGTGCCTGGCCTTTTTGTGATTTTTTTCTTAAGATCATCAGCTGTTATTAGTGTTAATGTGTTTTATGTGCGGCCTAAGACAACTTTTCTTTTTTTAATATTGCCCAAGGAAGCCATAAAATTGGATATCCCTGCTTTACATCAAGAAAAAATCACACCGTACATTTGGAATGCCTAAAAACACTACCAGCCATGCAAAAAATGAGACTGGTAACTTCCAATCTGTTTTGAAGCAGTGGAATTCCCTGGTGATGTCTGAGGGGTGTGGTTTCCTCCTGGAGGAGGTTGATGGTTTCTAAAGATTAGTATTATTTACTGAAATATTATAAATGTCATTGACCTTTTCATTATTTCAACTGTTATTATTCCAGGCGATCAGGTTTCTACTTGATTATTTGTATCCTGGGCATGACCTTCTTGGTGTTCTGTGGATGCCTATCCCTATTGTGTTTCTGGGAGTTTCCACAGTTGGCCTTTTCCTCCGAAAAATTATCTTCTGTGTGAGTATACTAACTTACTGTAGAGGTATACTTGTAATCACAAAGAAGAAATTATTTAAAACAATCTATGGTTCTGGACTTTATTATGAATATTCAGAAACATCAGGGAAATGATTTATTGGCCTAAGAATTATAAAAATATCTGCCATTTACATTATGAAAATTAAATAGGTTGATGTTTGTTTAATAGAATGCCAACAGAGCTTTCGGTCAAAAATAAGTTTTTTTGTGTGCTCTTTATCAGAAATGGAGTATGAAGTTTTGGCATTTAAATAGGAAATTCTGTCTAAACTTTTCTGCTTTATGATTCTATTGTATGGCTGGAAGGAAAGCTTTCATTGTCCTCTCTAATGGTTCACTACAGAAAAGAGCTAACAACAGACAGCTTAACAAGAGAAGAAAAGCATAGAACAGGTATAAACATGGGAGCCAGGCAAAAAATGAGACTGTAAGAAGGGTCAGATGGTTAAAGAGCACCCTCTTTTCAGGGGTGAGGGAGATAGATGGAGATGGGGGCAATTTAGAGGGTCAGCAAATGAAAGAGTCCAAGGAACAAATGGTTGGCCTGAGACAAAGTTCCTCTGAGATTGTAGGGACGAAGCAACAAACTGTAGGAAGGTGAAGGGCAGAGCTGCACTGCATCTCATGGTGCAGAGAAAGCCCCAGAGAATCTGTTTCAACTGCCTTTCAGAGAATCAATGAAAAGTATGTCTGGGCAGGGTAATTTCAAATGACACAATCAAAGTTCATGTTCCCGGTTGCAGGTGGAGAGGGATCAGTATGTCCAAAGTCTGTACTTGATAGGAATTTGGCCACTAAGTTGTGCCATCATTTGCGCTTTTTTTGTCCATTGGGTAAATTGAGCTGTGCATTTTCTCTTGCCTTTCATGACAGTCAAAACGTGGTTGTCTGGGAGCTGACCCTCCTTATGAACAATGATCCAAGAAAAAAAGCACTAATCCCATAATGCTGTTTTATATTCAAGGGAAGAGGAAGTATGTTTTATTTTTACAATCTAGATAATCACCTACCCTTCGGGACTGCCTTTCAAGATACATAGAAAACAGAAAATAGATGAGTTATGAAGATATCTAGGCACATTTAACAGTCTCTCCTTTTTTTTTTTTTTTTTTTTTTTTGAAACAGAGTCTCACTCTCTGGCTAAGGCTTGAGTGCAGTGGCATAATCTCAGCTCACTGCAACCTCTGCCTTCCAGGTTCCAGTGAGTTTCCTGCCCCAGCCTCCCAAGTTGCTGGAATTACAGGCGTGCACCACCATTCCCGGCTAATTTTTGTATTTTTGGTAGAGATGGGATTTCACCATTTTTGCCAGGCAGGTCTTGAACTGTGAACTCAGGTGCTCCACCTGCCTCAGCTTCCAAAAGTGCTGGGATTACTGGTGTGAGCCACCATGCCCTGCCGCATTTAACAGTCTCTATCCCACTTAGTCCTGAACAGAGAATTGTCAATATAAATTGGGAGAAGTTTTTTTTTTTTTTTTTTTTTCAGAATCTGGCTCTGTCACCCAGACTGGAGTATAATGGTGTGATCTTGGCTGACTGCAACCTCTACTTCCTGGCTTTAAGTGATTCTCCTGCCTCAGCCCCCCTGAGCAGCTAGAACTTTGGGCGGTTGCCACCACACCCAGCTAATTTTTGTATTTTTAGTAGGGATGGGGTCTCACTGTGTTTGCCAGGCTGGTCTGAAACTTCCAATCTCAGGTGATTTACTCACCTTGGCCTCTCAGTGCTGGGATTACAAGCATGAGCCACCATGCCTGGGGAGGGGATCTTTTTTAATGTGTCAGTTCTGATTTTAACTCCAAGAAATTTGTATTATCTGGGAGTTAAAAATCAGAAAAAAATTCTACAAAGAAAAAGGTGTTCTTTCAGGCTGGGCATGGTGGCTTTTTCAGATCGTCCCTCTGCAAGAAAGGGTAAGTTTGACAACTGGGTAAGTTTTGTTTGTTTGTTTTCCTTGCTTTTGGGCATAGTCTGCCAGGTCAGGACGTGGATGTATTTTTCTCCCCACAGCTCCATGCTGGAGCCTTGGAGAGGGAGATGGCTGAGAGGAAGCCTGCCTACAAGCAGCACAGGTAGGTCATTGTAATGGATTTTTTTTCCTTTTGAGTGAGAATCTTACTCTTTCTCTCAGAAAGAGTGCAGTGGTGCAGTCTCAGCTCACTGCAACCTCCAATTCCTGGGTTCAAGCAATTCTCTGCCTCAGGCTCCCCAGTAGCTGGGATTACAAGCATGCACCACTACACCTGACTAGTTTTGTAATTTTAGTAGAGACAGAGTTTCTACATGTTGGTCAGGCTGGTCTCGAACTCCTGACCTCAGGCAATCTGCCCACCTCAGACTCCAAAAGTGCTGGGATTGCAGGAGTGAGCCACCGTGCCCAGTTTTGATGGTCACTTTTAAGGACGTTTTTGTTTTAAGATGAAGCTTTGAGTGTCTAGTAAAGAACATGGTGTTTTAATTCAAGTCAGTTATTCCTCTGTTTTCTATATGGGAAAGGAGGAGAAAGCAGAGAGTGCCAGAGAGACACGAGTGAGGAGCCAGCCCAGAAACGCCTGTGCACTGAGAACACTTTCTGGAGAGGTAGGAGCTCCCATGAAGGCAGCCGCCTAATTTCTGCTGCACAATCCACACACCCTGCTTCTCCTTTTTGGGGTGAGGGCTCGGGTGGGGTAATTGTCATATTTCCTGGAAACAGTTCCAAGCACTTCTGAAGAGAACAGTTTCCCCATTGGGTGGCAGGGCCCCATTTTTCTCAGGTGCCCTAGCTGAATGGCTCTTGGCTGGTCCCCTGTGAATGGTGCAGGCCCCTCCACTGACTGTGGACATTGCCCCACCCTGACGTCTTAGTTACTTTTAACTGCGAAGATAAGCCTGCAAGGCAAATGGGCCAGCTCCCCTTCCCACCTTGAGTCAGTGTGAAGGCTTTTTCTTTCATTTGAGAAAAGTCACAACAATAACATTTTAGAAGCTGTAAGTGCTGATGAGAGCAGAGATTTTTGGGCAATGTCTTCATGGATCAATAAGGCAGTATCATGAGGTGTGCTTTAAGAAAAGAATCATTTATTTGCACTTTTTGGACCTTCCTTCATTCTTTTTGCTTGTTTAAATTGTGGATTGTGAATTATATAACTCCTTTAGTAAGCTAAATATCTATGTAATCTTACTCCTCTAACATTTGAAGTGTGACCCTAAAACTTTCAGTTAATGTTTTTCTTTTCTTTTTGAAAACCTTGCTCTGTCACCCAGGCTGGAGTGCAGTGGTGTGGTTTTTGCTCACTGCAACCACCACAATTAAGCAATTCTCCTGCCTCAGGCTCCCAAGTAGCTGGGACTACATGAGCCTGCCACCATGCCTGACAAATTTTCTCATTTTGTATTTTTAGTAGAGACAGAGTTTCACAATGTTGGCCAGGCTTGCCTCTAACTTTGCCCACCTTGGCCTTCCAAAGTGCTGGCATTATGAGGGTGAGCCATGGCACCCAGCCTCCATTTAATTTCTGAAACTCTGACCTTTTCTCATGAGTGTAAGTCTCTATGTTCATTTCTGTTCATAAATGTTGACAATGCCTGGTGAGATATGGAGGATAGATTCACTACGAATCCACAGAATTTTAAATGCCCCTATAGCTTGAAGAAAAGGAGCAGTGCTGCTCCTGTCCTGGGCCTATAGATGTTCCTCCCATCTATGGCTGTTTCTATTTTAATTTGGAGTCTGTGATCACATGATGGGTGATTTCCATTGATGTGTACTGGGAACCTCTGATTTCAAGCTCCTTTTAGCTGGTTAGAGCCTGACCTGTCCACAGCCTATTGAGAGTTAAGAAAACCCCTGGACCGGGGATCTGCAGTTTCTTCCTCAGAGCTGAGGCCCAGAGGGCTCCAGGGTCCTCTGAGGCATCTGGCCAATAAACCCTGTGCCTCTGGTAAGGGACATGAGTGTGGCAAAGAGAGTGAGATGGCAGTGGAGGGCATGTAGGGTTTCTTATTCGGCACAGAACATGCAAGCCAGATTTAGTTCCATTCCCTTCTCCGGCCCTTAGCAAATTCAGGACCTCATTCGGTTCCCATGAGGAACAGCAGCTGTGACCCAACTGAAAACGTGGAGAAGACAAAGGTAAATACTGGGGTCATTTTCACTCTGCCTGTATCAGGACACTGTAGTCTTTTCCTCCATCACCCTCTCCTGGCCTGGCCTGGCCTCTGCTCTGTGGGTTCTGTGATATGTTTTCTGTCTGGACTTTTTCAGAAGCAGCATCTTCCCCATAAGCTTTCTGGCTTCTCCATTCCCAGCTAGTCATCTTGAGTGGCACCTCCAGAAGCCATAAATGCTTAGGCACTGAGGGCTGAAGGGCTTTTACTATTCTGTTTCCAGAAATAACATGAGGAATGTCACCGACCTCCACCTCTGTAGGTCTCATGGCCCAGTGAACTCTGACTGCTCTCTTCTACTCAAGGTGTTGTGGGGTCTATTTCAGAAATATGTGTGGTTTTATTTTGCTGTGATTTTTGTTTTCTTCTATAAGGTAGGTGATTAACATTTGAAATATCTGCTGTATTCCCAGAAGTGACAAAAGTGAAAACTCATTAATCCAACATTAATATGTGCTTTGTGCGATTTTGAATGCTCTTCAACAAGGTCAATTCCATATTTCATCACAGTCCCATTCCTGTTGTTAACTGTGTTGTGCAAAAACCCACCTCCACCCCGCTTCAGTGGTGCCCTGATCTAATATTCTAAGTCTCAGAGTTTCTGTACTTGTAATAGAAAATATGTCTCGACTGTGAGTTAGTGAAAGTGAATGTAACCTATTACCCACAGCGACGATTCCCAATGAAGGCCTTAAATGATGCTCAGCTATGCTGGTTCTCATGTGGCCTCTCTACTTACAACAGCTGCTGAGTCTTATGATTACACATGATGGGAACTGTACACTTGAAATTAAACACATTTCTAAAACTTGCTTTTTTCAGAATTCATACCTTGTACATTTCTATGTACAAAAGTATTATTTATGTCATAATGCACTTAACATTTGTATCGCCTGGGAATTCAAAGAGACATTCTAGCCGTGCCTGACTGACGTTTGTATGTCGGATTGTTCTGTCAGAAAACCTTCTCCCAGTTCCCCTGAATGTCTTTAGGAATCCATATTTCCCCAGAGCTATTTGTGCTCACGGGGGGCACCCCCAGAGTGAACAAGACCCTTTGTCAAGAAGGGAAGCAGAGGGGAAATGAGAGGGTCCTACAGGCAGAGCTGGAATCAATTCCCACTGTGCCTCCTGCAAGCTGTGTGACCCTGGGCACATGGTCTTTTTCCTTGGGGAGCTTCTGTTTTTTTAGATTTGGAGCAGGTTGTCACACTGACTTGCAGAGTTCTGAGAATCAGAGACAACGTAAAAGGCCTGGAGAACATTCTCCAAAAAGAAGCTGCAACACGTGTGGACAATGGGCTTTTCATGCCTCTCTTACTCGCTGTTTATCTGATGCAAGGAGCATGCTCTGGTGATGGTGGTGAGGGAGGAAGAAGATAGACATAGACACTCCTGTGTGGGAAACGTACTTCTTCCTTACTGCGCTATGACTCTGTCTCCCCTGGGGCAGGACCCAGCCTGCCTACATTTGCAGACAGACACAGTGGCATGTGGAGAAAACAGTTTGACCCAATGACTTTTCTTCACTCCCCAGCTGTCTGTGGTACTTGGTGGAAGGGTGACTTCATGATACTGATGTGTTATTTTTGAAACCTGGAGGATGGAAAGGTGCAAAAAACTATGAGCAGCAACATAAGGTTCAGCCTGTGTTGTTGATGGTGGTTCTGTCCATCAAACTAATACATTTCAAAACACTTCCTCCTTCTGCCTGCAGGTTAACATGGCTGCCGCACAGCATCATCATTGATCAGCATTGCCCTCTTGCCCTACCTCATGGCTTGCCAGCCACCTCCTCCATCTGGATGTCACCTGGGAGCTCAACCATTTTCATCAGCTAAAGGTATTCTGGGACCTCTGAAAACCCCTCAACTCCAGTGTCCTCTAGGACCTCAGCCAACGTCTCCAGTTGATACATTTTGGGGACCACAGACACTAACACATCAGTGTCTTCTGTTACCTCTACCGCCCTTAGTCAATGATTTTTTGAGTCCATACACACCACCACCCGAGTGTCTTCTGACACCTCTACCACCATCTACAGATGATGAGTTTTCAAGACCACAGACACCGACACATCAGTGTCTTCTAGCACCTCTACCACCCTTAGCCAATGATTTTCTGAGTTCATACACAACACCCGAGTGTCTTCTGACACCTTTACCACCACCTACAGATGAGTTTTTGAGACCACAGACACTGACACATGAGTGTCTTCTAGTACCTGTACCACCTGCTCCACATGATAATCTTTGGAGACCATGGTCACCTCCACCCAAGTGTACTCTTTTACCTCTGCCACCTTCTCAAGCTGAAGATTTTCTAGGACCAGACACACCACCACCCGAGTGTCTTCTGACACCTCTACCGCCATCTACAGATGATGAGTTTTCAAGACTACAGACACCGACACATCAGTGTCTTCTAGCACCTCTACCACCCTTAGCCAATGATTTTCTGAGTTCATACACAACACCCGAGTGTCTTCTGACACCTTTACCACCACCTACAGATGAGTTTTCGAGACCACAGACACTGACACATGAGTGTCTTCTAGCACCTGTACCACCTGCTCCACATGATAATCTTTGGAGACCATGGCCACCTCCAGGTGAGTGTATTCTGTTACCTCTACCACCATCTCGAGCTGAAGATTTTCTGGGACCACACACACCTCAGCCACCTGATCCTATCTGTCCTGGGGGACCCCATCCACCTCATTCCCCCTGAGTGTCCCAGGGGACCCCATCCACCTCATTGCCCTGTGTGTCCTTGGGGACCTCATTCAGCTTATTGCCCTGTGTGTCCTGGGGGACCCCATCCACCCCATCACCCTGTGTGTCCTTGTGGACCCCATTCACCTCATTGCCCTGTGTGTCCTGGAGGAACCCATCCATTTCATTGTTCTGTGTGTTCTGGGGGACCCCGTTCACTTCATTGTCCTGTGTGTCCTGGGGGACCCCATCCATTTCATTGCCCTGTGTGTCCTGGGGGACCCCATCCACCTCATCCCTTTTGTGTGTCCTGGGAGACCCCATCCACCTCATCACCCTGTGTGTCCTGGGGGACCCCATCCACCCCATCACCCTGTGTGTCCTGTGGAACCCCATCCACCCCATTGCCATGTGTGTCCTCGGTGACCCCATCCACCTCATCATCCTGTGTGTCCTGGAGGACCCCATCCACCTCATTACCCTAGATTTTATGGCCCCAGGAGACTAACAGGATGGATCTTATTAGCTGTGGCCTTGGTCTCTAGAATCAGGTCAACTCTGGTGGGGAACTCAAGGCCAATACTGAGCTGTTCTCGCATCACCCTATCCTCAGCAACCTCTCTCTTCCTTGCAACTCCCAGCTTTGCATCTCCCCACCATGGCCTGCAAAATCCTCCCCCTTCACTGTGTCCCTGCTGCCTGAGCCCAGACACAAATTCTCAGTGGGGCTCAGAGCCCCAGCTTTCTCAGAAATGAGCTGGGACTGATGTGGTTATGAGGTCATGGTGAGGACAAGGAGACTAAGCCCATAAGGAAAGCATCTTGCAAAATAGCTGCTAAAAGGGAGAACCTCCTCCCTCCCACTGGTTTCATGAAAATATTCCCACTCAGAAGATCAGCATAAGATGTTCATTGATGTTTACTAAGCTTAGGGTATAACAGCTTAGAACCCGGGATTTCCAATCTCCGTTTCAAAAGAGAAGTGATAGCCTCAGATTCTTACGAGATGAAGAGATTAAAGGAATGCATACACAGTTAAACTCTGAGAGCTGTATCTGTGATCTGCAGATAATTATTATTCATGACATATGCAGCCACACACGGAAGCATTCAGTAGGTGTACAGGTATTTTATGTAAGACAAAATGTATATTGGGCCAAAAAGATCACATGGAAATAAACTGAAAGAACTTTGTTTTCACTATGAAAATGCTTTAATACCGTTGTCTGTACAGCATGGGATGTGGACAGGGAAAACAGCAAGTGCACACACACAGGCACAGGCCAGAAGGCAGGCTGGGAGTGCATAAAGAGTTCACACGGCTTCCCTACTTTTCCTGGTGACTGGAGGCTCTAGGCCACCTCCTCCTCGAATTCACCCTCCTCAATCGTGGTGTTCTAGTACTGTTGGTATTTGAACACCAGGTCATTCATGTTGCTCTTGGTCTTGGTGAACTCCATCTCATCCAGGCCCTCACCCATGTAGCAGTGCAGGAAGGTCTTGTGCAGAAACATGGCTGTGAACTGCTCCAAGATGCACTAGCACAGCTCCTGGATGGTCCTGCTGTTGCCAGTGAAGGTAGCAGATGTTTTTAGCCCTTGGGGTGGGAAGTCAGAGACAGCCATTTTCTCATTGTTGGGGGTCCACTCAACAAAGTAGCTGCTGTTCTAGTTTTGGACATTAAGCATTTGCATCCACCTTCTTCATGGACATGCAGCCCCTGAACATGGTGGCCACCATCAGGTAGCGGCCATGGAGGGGGTCACAGGCTCTCATCATGTTCTTGGCATCCAACATCTGCTGGATGAACTCAGGCACTGTCGGCCAGGACTGCTGGCTTACCTGGCTGGTCAGCAGGGCAAAGCTGGGCATGAAAATGTGCCGGTGTGGGAATGGGACCATATTTATGGCCAGCTTCTGCAGGTCAGGATTGAGCTGGCCTGGGAAACACAGGCAGGTAGTGACTACGCTCATGGTGGCAGACACCAGATGGTTCAGGTCACCGTGGTGGGCATAGCACCATTAGGGTTCTGAAGCAGATGTCACAGCTTCATTATCGATGCAGCAGGTCTTGTTTGCATTTCCTATGAGCTGGTGGATGGAGAGAGTGGCATTATAGGGCCCCGCCACCATATCTGACACCTTGGGTGAGGGCACCACAGTGAACATTTTCATGATCCTGTCTGGGTACTCCTCCTGGATTTTTGTTGAGGAGGGTACCCATCCCACACCCAGTTCCGCCACCCAGGGGGTCTGGCCATTTTGCTGCTTTATTTTGTGTTTTTAAATATACTTCTGGATTCAATATGCTGTTACTTAGTTTTATGCTCAGATACCTTCGTGTTAGCTGCTATATACCTAACAAATATTTTCTTTTATTTATTTAAAATGTTTAGATTAATAGAGGGCCAGGCAAGGTGGTTTATGCCTGTAATCCCAGCACTTTTGGAGGCCAAAGCAGGTGGATCACAAGGTCAGGAGTTCGAGACCAGCCTGACCAACATGGTGAAACCATGTCTCTACTAAAAATACAAAAACTGGCTGGGTGTCATGGCACACACCTGTAATCCCAACTACTCAGGAGGCTGAGACAGGAGAATTGTTTCACCTGGAAAGGTGGAGGTTGCAGTGAGCCGAGATTGCACCTTCAGAGGTGTTGGGGTCAAATATAAATACTCTCTGGCTCCTCCTATGCTTAGTTGGGCCTCTCAAGTGGGTTAGGAAAGACTGTTTCAAGAGTGGTTGTGTCAAGCATTGATGGAAGGGAGGATAAAGGAAAAGATGAGCAAATTAAATCCTAGGTTAGTTTAGAGTTAGTCTGTGTTGTGTGAAATCAGTTCAGGTTTCAGTAAGCAGAAACCCTCTTGACAAAAAGAAAAGACAAAGGAAAGAAGTCATTCTGAATTCTGATGTTTGATGATAAAGTGCAACTATTTGCTTTTACCCCTTCCACGAAGAAATGAAACACTTTGGGAAGACATCCCAAGAGATTCAGGAAGAAGAAAGCAAGGTAAGTGCTGTGGTTTGAATGCCTCCTCTAAAATTCATGTTGCAGTTTGTCATTGTGATGGCATTAAGAGGTGAGACCTGGCTGGGCATGGTGGCTATTGTCTGTAATTCCAGCACTTTGGAAGGTTGAGGCAGGTGGATCATCTGAGGTCAGGAATTCAAGAACAGCTAGCCAACATGGTGAAACCCCATCTCTACTGAAAACACAAAAACTAGCCAGGCGGGGTTTTGGGTACCTATAATCCCAGCTACTTGGGTGGCAGAGAGAGAAAGGAAGGAAGGATGAGGAAGAAAGATGGGAAGAAAGAAAGGAAGGGAGGGGAAAAGGAAGGAAAAAGGAAGAGAAGTAAAAGAAAAGGATGAGAGGGAAGTAAAAGAAAAGGATGAGAGGGAGGGAAAAGAAGGAAGGAAGGAGGGAAAGATAGCAAGAAGAGAGAAAAGGAAGGAGGGAGAAAAATAAGAAAATACCCTTTTTAAGTCACAGCTGAGGTCACAAAAAATAAAAAAATTTAAACTTCCCCCAAAAAATAAAAGAAGTGAAATTAAAAAAAATAAAATAAATCCAGCATAGATTAAAACCTTCAAAAGGACAGAGCTTGTGAGTGGTGAGAAGTGACCCTGTGGCTGCACAGGCTGAGGGAGAGAGGCCTCTGGTCTTGGCCACCAATGGCGGATGTTCTTTATGTCTGCCTCTCTTAAACATTTACAATGGAAAAAAAAATTTTTTTTAATTGCAATGTTTGTCTTATTTTATGCTTTATATTTTCAAAGTGAAAAGCAATAACATTGAGTCCATTTAAAAAAAAATATTTGTTCTATGTATTTAAAAGCCTTCAAGTTGCTCTAAAGATTTCAAAAGTATTGAGTAGGGCCGGGCATGGTGGCTCACGCCTGTAATCCCAGCACTTTGAAAGGTGGAGGCGGGCAGAACACCTGAGGTCAGGAGTTCAAGACCAGCTTGGCCAACATGGTGAAACCTGTCTCTTCTAAAAATACAAATATTAGCTGGGCATGGTAATGTGCCCCTGTAATCTCAGCTACTTGGGAGGCTGAGGCAGAAGAATCACTTGATCCTGAGAGGCGAAGGTTGCAGTGGGCTGAGCTCATGCCACTGCACTCCATTCAGCCTGGGTGACAGAGTGAGACTCTCTCAAAAAAAAAAAAAAAAGGCATTGAGACTCTGTGTCAAAGAAAAAAAATTATTGGAGCTCTGTGGTCCACAGCATTTCCTTCTGTTTCAATCTACATATGTTTTGATTACTATTGTAATCTTTTAAATTTTCTAAAGCAGGCTCAGAGGTAGGCAGAAAGATTCGATGCAAAAAAAAAAAAATTCTTACCTTATTCACCGCAAAGCTTCTCAAATCTAGCCTAAATACTCTACCTTAAAACAAACATGAGATGCATCTGAATGGGAGGGAAATTTATTTTTCTGCTTTTCTATTATACAAGTAATTTACAGAAACTACAAATTAAGACTGGGCACAGTGGCTCACACCTGTAATCCCAGCACTTTGGGAGGCCGAGGTGGGGGGGATCACCTGAGCTCAGGAGTTTGAGACCAGCCTGGCCAACATGGTAAAACCCCGCCTCTACTTAAAATATGAAAAATTAGGTCAGGTGTGGTGGCTCACACCTGTAATCCCAACACTTTGAGAGGTTGAGGTGGGTGGATCAGAAGGTCGGAGTTTGAGACCAGCCTGGCGAATATGGTGAAACCCCATCTCTACTAAAAATACAAAAATTAGCTGGGTGTGGTGGCACATGCCTGTAATCTCAGCTACTGGGGAGGCTGAGGCAGGAGAATCTCTTGAACCGGGGGGGTGGAGGTTGCAGTGAGCCCAGATGGCACCATTGCACTCCAGCCTAGACAACAGAGTGAGACTCTCTTAAAAAAAAAAAAGAAAGAAAAGAAACTGCAAATTAAAAGATAACATATGGTGGAAAATTTCAAACACAGCTTGAAGTGCAGAGGCCAGGACGAGGTCTCTCAGTGCCACCACTCCTGCAATAGCAACTAACATTCTGCCCTTCCTCTGCTCTTACCTCCTCTCTCCAGCTTTGCACGGGGATTTCACACAAATCCAACACATCATATGACTTTGCCTGTAGACACTTGGGAATGTTCTCTAATCATTGAAGCCCGATTTCCCAACAAAGAACCACCCAACCAAATTAACAATAATGTCTTGTTATCACCTTGCTATATGTTATTATCAATAATTTCCTGTCATCAATAACCAGTCTGTCACCTATTGTCCATAATGATCTCAAAAATGTCCTTTTGAGGCCCTGCCTGATGGTTCATGTCTGTAATCCTAGCCCTTTGAGAGGCAGAGGCAGGTGGACTGTTTCAGGACAGGAGTTTGAGAGCAGGCCGGGCACCATAGCAAAACCTCATCTCTACAAAAACTACACAAAAATTATCTGGGCATGGTGGCACGTGCTTGTAGTCCCAGCTATTTGGGAGGTTGACGTGGGAGGATCGCTTGAGCTGGAGAGGTTGAGGCTGCAGCGAGCTGTGATGACATCTCACTCCACTCCAGCCTAAGCAACAGAGTGAGACCTGCTCTAAAACAAATAAATAGAATCAACAGCCAACAGATTGGGACAAAATATTTGCAAATGATATATCTGATAAGGAGCTAATGTCCAAATATATATAAAGAATTCCTTCAAGTAAACAACAACAAAACACCCAGTTTTAAAAAGAGAAAAGGTGCATAGATATTTTCTTTTTGTTTTTTAAGCAAACATTGCTTCAGGCCGGGCACAGTGACTCACACCTGTAATCCTAGCAACTTTGGGAGACCGGGGCAAGCAGATCACTTGAGTTCAGGAGTTGGAGACCAGCCTGCTCAACATGGTGAAACCCTGTCTCTACTAAAAATATAAAAATTAGCCAGGTGTGGTTGTGGGTGCCTGTAAATTTCAGCTACTTGGGGGGCTGAGGCAGGATAATCGCTTGAACCCAGGGGGCAGAGGTTACAGTGAATTAAGATTGCGCCCCTGTACTCCAGCCTGAGTGACAGAATGAGACTCTACTTAAAAAAAAAAAAGTTAAATTTCAAAAAGGCCAGGCATGGTAGCTCATACCTATAATCCCAGCACTTTGAGATGCTGAGGTAGGAGGATCACTTGAGCCAAGGAGTTGAAGGCCAGCCTGGGCAATATAGTGAAACCCAAATCTCTTCCAAAAAAAAATTAAATTAAAAATTAGCTGGGTGTAGTGGCTCACACCTATGGTCCCACCTACCTGGGAATCTGAGCCGGGAGGATTGCTTGAGCCCAGGTGGTCAAGGCTGCAGTGACCCATGATGGCACCACTATGAAAAACTTAGAAATTAGCGGGGCATGGCAGTGTGTGTCTGTAGTCTCAGCTACTCAAGAAGCTGAGGTGGGAGGATCACTTGAGTCCTGGAGGTATGATTGCAAAACTGCACTCCAGCCTGGGTGATAGAGCAAGACCCTGTGTCAAAAAAAAAAAAAAAGAAAAGAAGGCCGGGTGTGGTGGCTCACCCATGTAATTTCAGCACTTTGGGAGGCAGAGGCGGACGGATCACCTGAGGTCAGGAGGTAGCCTGGCCAACATGATGAAACCCTAAAATTTTTAGTCTTGACTAAAAATTCAAAAAATGAGCCAGGTGTGGTGGTGGGCACCTGTAATCCCAGCTACTCGGGAGGCTGAGGCAGGAGAATCGCTTGAACCCAGGAAATGGAGGTTGCAGTGAGCCAAGATGGCACCACTGCACTCCAGCCTGGGCAACAGAGTGAGACTCCATATCAAAAAAAGAAGAAAATATATATTAGGATGGGGCAAGCTAAACTACATTGTTCTGTATTTTAACAACATAGAAAACCTACTTGGGGCCAATCTGTGAGTCCCTCCCTTATGAGGCTCAGCCCCACACTGGGAACCCCCTGTCACCTGCCAGTGGCATCTCTGGAGTGGTCTGTGGTGTTAGCTTGGACCAGTGGTGCTCACCCTCCACACGGCACGCAGAGGCTTTCTAGGGAGCAGTTCGCCAGGACAGCAATATTTCAGGTGACAGTGACATGGGGCAGCAAAACCGGTTTTCTCCTAATAGGCAGCCAGACGCACACAGGCATGCAAGCAGACCACACCATTCAGAAAGTTCACCTGGGACCTGAGACGCAGCTCTTGGAGGGAGAACAGAAGATCAGATGGTATTTGAGAAAATAAAAAGGTTAAGCAAAGTGAGAAGGAAGGTGGAGGGGATAAAAATCATAAAGGTTAGCCCTGCCACCCATGACACAGAAGCATGCCATGTCGGTTTTAACACCTAAAAGTCAGAGCCACTCACAGGTGGTGAAGAGTGGGTGGAGGAGAGGAGTGGGGAGGTCTGAGGAGCAGAAAAGCCAAAAGGCAAGAGTAAGATCTGATGCCAAAGAGGTTCCGCCCACATGGGATCTGCCCCTGGGAAAAATGAAATTCCCAGAGCCCGGGTACCACAAGGCTTATAGGCTGGAGGGACGGGCTTTTCACACCCGTGGGATGACAGAGGCCATCTCTACAGGTGGGCGACCCCACAGGCACACCAATGACCTCAGTGCAGCTCCCCAGCACCCACAAATGACACAGGTCAGTAATCCAGACATGGGGGGGCAAAGGCTCATGTGTGCCCAGATGCAGGCACACCTGTGCTGCTTGAGTCACCTGCAGAGTCACGAGACAAGGAACCCGGAGGAGCTCCACTGGTGTACATCGGACACCCCAGGGCAAGGTCCCAGGTGCCTCCCTGGCAGCCCCCTCCTACAGCAGAGGGTTCGGATGGCAAAGTCTCAAAGGCTTTCCTTCCTTCCCTGCATGGGGCAAACATGGAGGACACACTCCCCCAGGGCCTGCGCTGAGGCTGCCAGGGAGCCTGCCAGTTTCCCCACTCTGGTTTTCAGGTAAACCCAATCTGCTGGCACTGAGACCCTCATCAGACATCTGCACACCTGCGACCACAGCTGAAATCGGTGTGCCTTCTCCAAAGCCATCTTCTCACCTGTTTTTTCTTATTTTTTGAGACAAAGTTTTGTTTTTGTTGCCCAGGCTGGAGTACAGTGGCACTCTCTGGGCTCAGCACAACCTCTGCCTCCCAGGTTCAAGCGATTTTTCTACCTCAGCCTTCGGAGTAGCTAGGATTATAGGCATGCACCACCATGCCCAGCTAATTTTGTATTTTTTTTTTTTTTTTTTTTTTAGTAGAGACAGGGTTTCTCCATGTTGGTCAGGATGATCTTGAACTCCCAACCTCAGGTGATTCTCCTGCCTCAGCCTCCTAAACTGCTGGGATTACAAGTGTAAGCCACCATGCCTGGCCATGACCGGCTTTTAAAATAAATTTAGGTAAGGTTCGCATAACATAAAGTTAAGCATTTTAAAGTGAACAGTTCAGTGGCATTCAATACATTTACAGCATTGTGCGACCATCACTCCTACCTAATTTCTGTACATTCTCTCTCTTTCTTTTTTATTTCTTTGGAGATGGGGTCTCCCTCTGTCCCCCAGGCTGGAGTGCACTGGCACGATCTCAGCTCACTGCAATCTCTGCCTCCCAGGTTCAAGCGATTCTCCTGCTTCATCCTCCCAAGTAGCTGGGATTACAGGCCTGTGCCATCACTACATACAGTTAATTTTTGTATTTTTCCTAGAGATGGTGTTTCACCAGGTTGGCCAGGTTGGTCTTAAACTCCTGACTTCAAGTGATCCACCTGCTTCAGATTCCCAAAGTGCTGGGATTAAAGGCATGAGCCACCATGCCCAGCCTCTCCTATCTAGTTCTTTTACATTCTCTCTCTCTTTATATTTTTATTTTTTGGGGGGACAGGGTCTTCCTCTGTTGCCCAGGCTGAAGTGCGGTGGCATGACCTCAGCTCACTGCAATCTCCACCTCTCGGGTTCAAGTGAGTCTCCTGCCTTAGCCTCCTAAGTGGCTGGGATTAGAGGTGCCCAGCTAATTTTTGTTTTTAGTAGAGATGGGGTTTCACCATGTTGGCCAGTCTTGAACTCCTTACCCTCTTGAGCCTTTCAAAGTGCTGGGATTACAGGTGTGTGCCACAACACCTTGCCAAATTCTTGCACATTCTCACTTTAGAAAGAAACCTTATCACCACCAGCTGTCACTCCCCACCCCTCCCCAAGCTTCTGGAACACACACATCTTTTTCCTGTCTCTGTGGGTGGGCTGGTCTTGGACATTTTATAGAAATGGGATCACACACACTGTGTGGCCTTTTGTGTCTGGCATTCCTCACTGAGTGTGATGTCCTCAAGGTACATCCATGCTGTGGCCTGTGCGAGAGCCTGGCTCCTTTTCAGGGCTGAGTTGTGTTCCACTGAGTTGTGTTCCACTGTCAGGATGAACCATGCGTGGATCCATCCATCGATACACACCTGGGTTCTTGCAGTAACCTTTTGGCTGCTGTGAATATCATGCTGCTGTGAAAATTTCTGTGCATGCATTTGTTGGAGGACTCCCTTCAATTCTTTTGGGTTCATGCCCGGGAGCAGAATTGCTGGGTGACCCCTGAAATGGCCCAGGTCAGGCCTCTCCATTGCACCTCGAAGCCTGGCTTTCAAATATTGTCACTATTCAGAATGGGCAGGTGCACATCTATCTGACATGTGTCCACATGCCCAGGGACTATAGGGAGTGGGAGAGGGTTCATTTTGCAGGATTGGGACCAGGGTCAGGTGAGAAAACCACAAAATTTAAGGGGATGCCAAAAAGTTAGCATATATATATATATATATATGGAGAGGTGGGGAGAGAGAGAGAGAGATATGAAGTCCCACTCTGTTGCCCAGGCTGGAGTGCAGTGGCACAATTTCAGCTCACTGCAACCTGAGCCTCTTGGGTTCAAGCGATTCTTCTGCCTCAGCCTCCAGAGTAGCTGGGACTACAGGCATCTGCCACCACGCCCAGCTAATTTTTGTATTTTTAGTAGAGATGGGGTTTCACCATGTTCAGGCTGGTCTTGAACTCCTGACCTCTGATCACGTGTCTTGGCCTCCCAAAGTGCTGAAATTACAGGCATAAGCTACTGCACCTGGACTATAAATAATATTTTAATGCACTCTTATAAAAATTCAAAATAAATATGCAAAAGCTACGATGAACAAATGATCAGAATTTTCTCTCAAAGTGGGATCATTCACAGTGCTCTGAGAGGCACATTGGAGCCAAGGCAAAAGGAAAAATCAGAATTACTGACCCCATCTTGATTTAAAATATTATTCTGGCTCCATTGTGGATTTTTGCATTGATTTTGATTTTTTTTTTTTTTTTTTTTGAGACAGAGTCTCACTCTGTCACCCAGGCTGGAATGCACTGAAGTGATCTCCACTCACTGCAACCTTGGCCTCCTGAGTTCAAGAAATTCTCCTGCCTCAGCCTCCTGAGTAGCTGGGATTACAGTCATGTGCCACCACGACCAGCTAATTTTTTTTTTTTTTTTAGTAGAAATGGGATTTCACCATGTTGGCCAGGGTGGTCTCAAATTCCTGACCTCAGGTGATCCGCCTACCTCAGCCTCCCAAAGTGCTGCGATTACAGGCGTGAGCCACCATGCTTGGCTGGATTTTTTTTTTTTTTTTTTTTTTAGCTATGGGCTTTTCCTATGTTGCCCAGGGATGTCTCGAACTCCTGGCCTCAAGTGATCCCACCTCAGCCTCCTGAGTAGATGAGACCACAGGCACACATCACCACACCCAGCTAATTTTTAATTTTTTGTAGAGACAGGGACTCACTATGTTGCTGAGGCTGTTCTTGAACCCCTAGGCTCAAGGGATCCTCCCACCTCAGTGTCCTGTGTAGCTGGTACTACAGGCACGTTCCACTCCACCCTGCTAATTTTTGGTTTGAACTGAAGTATTATTTCATCTCGGTCACTGAGGTTTTTCAGCCCCCCCCCTCCTTTTTGTTGTTGTTGTTCAAGCAATTCTCCTGCTTCAGGCTCCCAAGCATCTGGAACCACCGTACCTGGCTAATTATTATTATTATTTTTTTGTATTTTTATTAGAGACAGAGTTTCACCATATTGGCCAGGCTGGTCTTGAACTCCTGACCTCAAGTGATCTCCCCTCTTCGACCTCCCAAAGTGCTGGGATTACAGGTGTGAGCCACCCATCTGACCTCAACGCTCCCTTCGAGTTTGTGCCCAGTGTGAGTGCCTTGCTTTGCTGAGCCTGCTCGTGCCCTGGGATTTGAGACCCGACAGGTGTGGGTAACAATTGCAGTTTAGCTGCTCACTTGCCGGAGGACCTCAGGCTCCCTTCTCTGAGATTCACTTAGGCCATTTCTGGAATCCCCATTGTGCAGGACAGCTGGGTTGATTGCAGTGATGTTTACTCACCAAATCCTGAGTGCTGGAGCAGACAGGGCCCCATCTGTTACTCTCTTGGACTTCCAGCCTCCAGAACTGAGAGAGAGAAGAAATCTCAGTCTCTGAAGCCCTCCGCTTTGTGGCCCGAGGTCACAGAGCCCCAGCAAACCATCACATTGGGTTAAGGGAATGCATCCCCAGATCTCATAGCTGCAGACTGGCCACTGCAGGACTATCCAGTGGGACCCAGGGGTGCCTCTGCCCTATTGGGGGACCCTCGGTGAGCCAGTGAATTCAGAGCATTTCTGAAGCTCCTTGACCATGAGTAAGGAAGTTGAATGGTACAGGAAAAGCAGGTGAGCATGCACATTAAACCAACAGCCAAGACCTGTCACCACCACTGGGCACCTGCCAGGCTCCCCGCCCAGTGCTCCCAAAAACAGAGGCCCCCCCTTCCCCTATCCCCTAAAGGAGTGATCTCACTGGTCAAGATGATGACAGCATGGGGAAGTCTCTGGAAAGGGCCTTGCCCAGGGGATGGCTCAGGTGGCCTCAAATAACATGACAAAGAACTTCTTTATTACTTATCATTATTATTATTTGAGACAGGGTCTTGCTCACTCTGTTGCCCGGGCTTGAGTGCAGTGGCATGATCTAGCTCACTGTAGCCTCAACCTCCTGGACTCAAGTGATCCTCCTGCCTCAGCCTCCTGAACAGCTTGGACTTCAGGCGTGTACTGCCACACCTGGCTAATTTTTAAATTTTTATTTATTATTATTGTTATTATTTTTGAGATGGAGTCTATCTCTGTCACCCAGGCTAGAGTGTAGTGTTGCTATCCTGGTTTATTGCAACCTCTACCTCCCGGGTTCAAGCAATTCTCCAGCCTCAGCCTCCTGAGTAACTGGAGATTACAGGCACCTACCACCATGCTCAACTAATATTTATATTTTTAGTAGAGATGATGTTTCACCATGTTGGCCAGGCTGGTCTCGAACTCCTGACCTCAGGTGATCCATCCACCTCCCAAAGTGCTGGGATTGCAGGCATGAGCCACTGTGCCTGGCCACTACATTTTTTTTAATTTTTAGAGATGGGGTCTTGCTATCTTGTACAGGCTGGTCTGAGACTCCTGGGTTCAAGCAATCTTTCCACCTCAGTTTCCCAAATAGCTTAGACTTAAAGATGTGCACTGCCAAACCAGGATAATTTTTTCATTTTTAGGAGAGGTGGGGTCTTGCTGTCTTGCCCAGGCTGGTCTCAAACTCCTGGGCTCACAGGATCCTCCCGCCTCAGCCTCCCAAAGTGCTGGGATGACAGGCACAAAAGACCATCTTTCATTTTTGCAATATGCTGACAGGTTCAGAAGAGGTTTGAGCCAAATTGGCCATAGGCACCCAGGTGGCCTCTGGGATACGTTTCTCCCAAGCCAGGTTTGCACTCAGTCAGCCTCAGCATGCAGACACCATCTCCTCGACACTAAACTTGACACTCTCGGTTCCAATCAGGCAGTGGGGTCTGGGAGAGGGACCTGGTTCACGTGCCACGCTTGGGGGAGCGTCCTAACATTCTCAGAAATGACCACACCCAACACTCGCCCTGGGTGGCTTCTGTCTCCCTATCTGCTTTCTGAGAAGTGGGCACCCTCCCACATGCCCCCGGGTGTGGTGCCCAGGGTTCCCCGACACACAGACCCTTAGCCGCTCAACCCAGGCATCCAGGGTCCTGGCGAGACAGCCTGGGAGACGCAGAGTGGGAACTGATGACTGGGAGTGAGTATTGTGAATGTCTACACGCAGACTGACTTCAGGGGCGAGGAATTATGCCTGGCAAGCATCTGGACTGCGGTGCTTCTGGGAGCTGGGACCTGAAGTCAGCATTAGGTCTCCCGGGAAGTGGGCTTTGCTCCTACCTTCTGGTCATGGCCCAACAAGCAGCCTCGCCATCACCACAGAGGTGGCTGGAGATGCCCTGTCCCAGGACCGTGGCAGGTGGGGATCCCGTCCTGCGTGGGGCTTGCTGGCAGGTGAGAAAGACAGTGCACAGCCTGCATTTATTTAATGACTCATTTAAAAATACCATTTAAAGACTGGGTGTGGTGGCTCATGCCTGTAATCCCAGCACTTTGGGAGGCCGAGGTGGGTGGATTACCTGAGGTCAGGAGTTCGAGACCAGCATGGCCAATATGGTGCAACCCTGTCTCTACTAAAAATACAAAAATTAGCTGGGCATGGTGGTACGTACCTGTAATCCCAGCTACTTGGGAGACTGAGGCAGGAGAATCCCTTGAATCAGGGAGGTGGAAGTTGCAGTGAGCCAAGATCATGCCACTGCGTTCCAGCCTGTGTGACGTGTGACAGAGCGAGACTGTCTTAAAACAAAAAATAAAATAAAGTAAAAAAATAAAGGCCAGGTGTGGTGGCTCAAGCCTGTAATCCCAGCACTTTGGGAGGCGTAGGTGGGTAGATCATGAGCTCAGGAGTTCAAGACCAGCCTGGCCAAGATGGTAAAACCTCGTCTCTACTAAAAATACAAAAATTAGCTGGTCGTGGTAGTGGGTACCTGTAACCCCAGCTACTCAGGAGGCTGAGGCAGAGAATTGCTTGAACCGTGGAAGTGGAGGTTGCATTGAGCTGAGATGGCATCACTGCACTCCATCCTGGGCAACAGAGTAAGACTCCGTCAAAAAAAAAAAAAAAAACACTTAAAATTCTCTGGAGTGAGGGGGCCCAGGGGTCCGGGCAGCTCCGGGCAGGCCCCCCACCTCCCCCCCTGGCCCCCACGGGATGGACCATGCTAAGCTCCACTGGCTTCTTCCGGGCCATTGACTGCCCCTGTTGGTCTGGGGCGCCCGGGGGTCCCTGCTAGCAGCCCTACTGCCACTTCTGGCACTGCAGGACCCGGGTCCCCGGCACACCGGGTGATGGCCGAGAGGAGCCCCCCGCAGCAGAGCTCGATAGGAATGCCTGGGCCTACAGCTGCTGGGCATCGCCCCCTCAAGGCTGTTGCTTCCTGAACCTCCCTCGGCCTGGGGCTGGGTTACGACCCCTACAACCCCAAGCTGCCCAAGCCCCCTGGGCAGAGGGAGAATGGCGCCCTTGGCCTGGGGGAGGAGGCACGGACTGACGTGCTGGTGCTGGAGCTGGTCAACACGGCCATCTAGGCTGTGCGCAGTAAGGTGGAGCTTGAGCAGTGGCGCTACCGGGATCTGCTGGAGATGGCCCGTGAGCACCGCGCTGCCAAGGCCCCTGCCGTGGCACCCTGCAACCCTGACGGCGGCCCCATCATGGGTCTGGATGACGATGCCTTCCCACTGGCCTTTCACTACAGCCCTGGCAGCCACAGCCTGTTAAGCCCCAATGCCAGCTACCAGGCCACCCCTGCCAAGCCAGCCAGCAAGTACTCGCTGGCGTTCCCAGACAGGGGTCAGGGCAGAGGCAGAGGGGGAAGTGGTGCCCTGGAGTATGTCCCCAAGGCCGTGAGCCAGCCCCATTCCCAGCGGCAAGTATGTGGTGTGGCCACCCACAGACCTGGAGTACGATCCGCTCTCCAACTACTCCTCCCGGCACCCCAGCAGGGCCAGCTACCGAGACAAGCATGCTGTCAAGCAGCCCTGGGGACCCCAAAGCAGCAAGCCTTTCACGCCTGCCCCCAAGAAGCCCTGCGACCCTTTTGGCAGTTGTGATGCAATGTTCTCAGACTCGGAAGATGAGGCCACCATAGTCCCCAGTGATGAGCCCACCATGGCCAGCACTCTCAAAGCCAGGGCTGACCCTGAGAGCAAGGCCTCGGGGCAGTCACCCTCCAAAGAGAGCCTGGAGGCCGAGGGGTCAGCCTCCGTGAGACCAAGGAGACTGCCGTGCAATGCGAAGTGGGGGACCTCCAGGCGACCCTGGCCAAACCCAGCTCCCCAGCCCAGGCCTTGCAGGATGGGGGCTGCCCCAAGGAGGAGAAACTCAAGAGGAAGAAAAGCAGGGCCCCACCTGACCCCAGCTGTAAAGATGGTGCCCAGAGGAAGAATAAGACCAAGGACAAGTGTCGAGGGCAGGGGGAGAGGCCCTGTGTGGACAAGAAGGGCCCATAGGCCAGCAGCCCCCAGTGCAAGGCAGAGCGGCCAGAAGGGACCAAGAAGAAGCCATCTTCCGCCACTCCCATGGCCAGCTCAGGGAAAGGGAGGCCTGACTGGCCAGCTCAGCAACCAAGCCCCGCAAGCGGGTACTCCCAACTGACAGCCAGCAGAGCTCCACCCGGCCCACCTCCAGCTCCCCGACAGGAAGGGCGCCTGGTGGAGCGCAAAGACCACTCACTGGACGAGGGTGCCTCCCAGGATGCCCCCAAGCTGAAGAGGAGGGCCCTGAGCCAGGCTGACCTCTTTGGGGATGAGAGTGAGGACAAGGCCACAGGGCTGGGGAACCAAGCGTGCCAAGGGTGTGCCACCCCCCACCCTCCCGGGACTCAGCTTGGACTCAGACTTTGACTCGTACTCCAGCCTGGGCTTCCCAGAGGCACAGGGGCCTGGCTCCCAGCGCCATGTCCAGCCTCAGCAAAGCCAGTGGCCGCAGGGTTGTGTCCCATGAGGTGGTGTTGGGGGGCAGGTTGGCCACCAAGACCAGCTTCTCGCTCAGCCGCCCAAGCAGACTCCAGGAGGAGGACCTGAAAGGGGCCGCCCTGTACAGCCACCTCAAGGAGTACCTGCTTACGCAGGACCAGCTCAAGGAGAAAGGCTACCCTTTCCTACACCCAGAGCGGCCCGGGGATGCCCTCATCTTCACAGCTGAGAAGAGGCACAGGGACTCTTCCTGCAGGACCTGTTGCCGCTGTGGCACCGAGTACTTCATATCCTCCTCGGGCCGCTGTGTTTGTGATGAGGAGTGTTACTACCACTGGGGATGGCTGTGCCGGAGCCGGGTAGCGGGAGGCTGGGAGAACCAGTACATGAGCTGCTCTGCTGCTGAAGGCTCTGTCAGCTGCTGGGTTGCCAAGCGACACATGCAGGAAGGCTGGAAGGAGCGCCCAGAGGGCTTCGTGAAGACCTTTGAGAAAGAACTCTCCAGAGACGCCCACCCAGGGATCTATGCCCTGGACTGTGAGATGTCCTGACCGACGTATGGCCTGGAGCTGACGCATGTCACGGTGGTCGACACTGATGTACATGTGGTCTATAACACCTTCGGGAAGACAGACAACGTGATCGTGGACTACAACGAAGGCTGATCTCGTGGACACGAGTGTCACGCTGCACGACATCCAGGCCGTCCTGCTGAGCATGTGCAGCTCCAACACCATCCTCATCTGACACAGCCTGCAGAGTGACCTCCTGGCCCTGAAAGTCAAACACAGCACCATAGTGGACACATCTGTGCTCTTCCCCCACCACCTCGGCCTTTCCTCCAAGTGGTCCCTGCGGAACCTCATGGCAACTACCTCAGACAGATATCTAGGACAATGCAGACCGGCACAGCTCCACCCAGGATGCCGGCGCCTGCATGCACCTGGTGATTTGGAAAATCCGAGAAGATGCCAAGACCAAGCGATGATGCCTGCCCTCCTCCTGCCCACCTCTCCTGCCGCCCCGGCCTGTCCTTAGCCCAGGCCTCTTCCAAACAGTGCAATAAATCTCCGGTAACCCATCCACCTGGCGAGGCAGCCCAGAACAGTGGGACGAGCCAGTGGCTGGAGGACGCCTCGCCCAGCCCATCCCAGCCCACGTCCTGCCACAGCCCCTTACACTCCTCCCCACCCTCTGCCCCCCAGACCTCTGGCGTCTCTATAAACTGCTGCTGACAGAGACCAGGACTGAGCCCACCTCCAACTGACCCACAGCCCTTCCTGCCCCTCCGGCCAGGCCCTCGCTCCTTCCCAGGTGACAGCCAACACCTCTGCTCCTCACTCGGGGTGCGTGGTGGGCTTGTCCTGGGTTTGTTTGAGACCGTCTTTTTTATTTTGTACTGTTATTTTTATTATTTTTATTTAAACCTGATGACTTGCACAACCCTTTCCCACTGAGAAGGGTGGGCCTGCTGCCTTCCCACCTGGGGGGTGGGGACAGAACAGACTCCAGTGGGGGACAGGGCCACACAGCCCGGCATGGGCTGGACCTGACTCCGGACTCCAGGGGCTGGCCTGCCTTTGGGGCAGCCGGCTTCTACCATTCGCTGCCCCACCTCTGCACTCCGTGACATCTAAGAACCCAGCCAGCCCCTCATTAGCCCCAGAGCCTACCGTCCATGGAGCCCACCGGCCTCTAGACAGTCTTCCTACCGGAGCCCCATCTTCTTTCACAGGCTCTCTGGATCTCCTTTCCCTCACCTCTAGCAGGGACAGAATAAATGTTTGCATGGATTAAAAAAGAAAAAAAAAAATATCTTAGGCCAGGTGCAATGGCTCATGCCTGTAATCCCAGCACCTGGGGAGGCCAAGATAAGAGGATCACCTGGGCTTAGAAGTTGAGACCAGCCTGGTCAATAGAGCAACACCAGGTGTCTACAAAAAAATCAAAAATTAGCTGAGCGTGTGGCAGGAACATGTGATTCCAACTACTCGGGAGGCTGAGGCAAGAGAATCACTTGAACCTGGGAGGTCAAGGTTGTAATGAGCCAGGATCACACCACTACACTCCAGACTGGATGACTCTAAAAAAATAAAAAATAAAATTTAAAATAAATAAAAATAATTTTTTTTTTTTTTTGAGAGGAAGTCTTGCCCTGTCGCCCAGGCTGGAGTGTAGTGGAGAGATCACGGCTCACTGCGACCTCTGCCTCCTGGATTCAAGCAATTCTTCTGCCTTGGTCTCCCAAGGAGCTAGGATTACAGGCTCCCACCACCATGCCTGGCTAATTTTTGTATTTTTAGTAGAGACAGGTTTCATCATCTTAGTCAAGCTGATCTGGAACTCCTGACCTCAGGATCCACCCGCCTCAGCCTCTCCAAATACTGGGATTACAGGGGTGAGCCATTGCACCCAGCCTCTCTTTTTAATAATTGGATTGACTTTGGTCTATGTTCTCCCCTGGGGCCCAATTCTTCTCTGGAGTGGGGCCATCCTGGGCACTGCAGGGTGCTGAGCAACGTCCCTGGCCTCCACCACTCCATGCCAGGAGCACCCTGTTCCAGGGTAGAAGCCCAGGCGGCAAAGCAGGTGCGTCTGAGAGCTGGGCGTTTCACATCAGGGTGACCCAGCCTGGGTGAGGGGAGGAGGACTTCATGAGATGACTCAAGCCAAGAACCTACTCCAGGCAGGATCCAGCCTCCCATGGCACAAAAGCCCCAGTTCCAGGGCCCCTGGAGATGTTTTTTAAAATCCAGTTGACAACAGATGAATAAAATACTTGTGAGTGTATAATCATGACTCCAGTCTGGATTGTTTGTCTTTGTGTGGAGACAATTGTAGAATACAGCTTTGGATTTCTTTTTATTGAGACAGAATCTTTCTGCATTGCCCACGCTGGAGTACAGTGATGTGTTCTCGGCTCACTGCAACCTCCACCTCCCAGTTTAAGCAATTCTTCTGCCTCAGCCTCCCGAGTACCTGGGACTACAGGCAACTGCCACCACACCTGACTAATTTTTGTATTTTTAGTAGAGATGGGGTGTCCCCATGTTGGCCAGGCTGGTCTTAAACTCATGACCTCAGGTGATCCGCCCACCTCGGCCTCCCAAAATGCTGGGATTATAGATGCGAACCACCACACCTGGCCAACTTTGGACTTTTTTGAGTTAAGAACGTGGCCCAGGAGGGCAAATGTGCCCCAGGCCATGAACATCATAACATGACCCTGTAGCTGAGTAGAACCAGCCAGGGTAAGGGATGGTGTCTAAAGGCCGGGAAAAAGGAATTCAGACAAGGAATTTCTGATGACAGGTGAACCCTGCTGCTGGCTGCGGCCTCCTTCCTGGCACAGGCTGTCTCCTGTTGAATCAGCGCCTAAGTTGAATTAGTTGAATTTGCTTGAATTATGTTGAATTAGGTGTTGAATTAACATGCCTTGGGCTCTCAGGCCCTCACCTAAAGTCCATTGTCTCAAGCTACTGCCTCATGGACCAGCAGGTGTCTACACTGCCTGGAGTGGGGGAGAACCTGCATTTATGCTTTGGAAAAAATGCAGTCTGTTCCCTGCTCATAGTAATAAATGTCTAATGGGACACATGGCAAAAACCAGGGGGACCCCCAGCTC